CTGCTGTGCTGGGGTAGTGCCCGGCCATTGTTGATTTAGAGCGGAAGAGTTAATGGTTGGTGTTGTTTGGCAGGGGCGGAAACTGATTCCTGCCGCGTTGCCATGGTTGTTATTGGGTGGGAAGATTCGCCGTTTGGTACCCCATGGTTAGAGAGGAAAAGGAGTTGGGAAGATTCCTGCGGGGGAAATGATTGATGAATGGGTCTTATTTCCCGTCAGGTCAGGGTACACTTCCGAAAACAGGGTACAGTTAGTGAGAAAAGTAGACACAGCAGGGTATACCCTGCGCCTTTTCGGACGTACCGGGGAGAAATTGGGCGCTGACCAATCATATGAATGCATTTACTGCTGTTAATGACTGTGTACCCAGGTGTGTCGCTTTTCGACTAGGGTATACCCTGTTGTGTCGTTTTCCCTAGATGTTTCCGTGCCAAAGCAGACTGCGGAACATCTTCCGACATCCATACGGTACAAATGTACACATGCCCACCGACATCGCAGTGCAAACGTATGGTACGACCAGACCTCCCTCGTAGTCTTCTAAAGAGAAGCGCGCGAAGCTGCACAGCCATCAAGACGTAAGAGTCAAGGTGCTGACCACACCCATCAGCGCGTGTGCAGCAGCGATCAGCAGTCGATCCGTCCAAATCGAACAAAACATTCGTGAGCACAACAACTGCGCATGCAAATAGACATACATAGCTGTAATGTAAACAACAGCAAATTAACCCCTTACAACAGCAAGGTGAAACTGTAACTGTTGTATCGATAACAATCAAGGGAAAGGCAACAACCATTCCGGCGTGCGTGTGCAGCCGCACTCAGTCCAAACGAAATAAGACAGTCGTGAGCACCGTGAGGACACGGCGTGTGCAAGAGGGATCGGAGAGCGGCCCAACGGTTTGCAATAGTTTGCAACATCCAACGAGACGTAACTAACTGTGGAACGTCTGACAGCAACATCGGCGTCTTATGTGCACCAACAGCTGTACCGTATCAGTGCAAAACGAACAAGACAGTCATCAGAGAACAAGCTGTGTCCGGCGACCCGCAGTCAAGCGAATTAATTGTGTTGATTGCGTGACCTTCATGGGAGAACGTCAACACAACGAACGGTGCGCGCACCGAATTGTATAAAACGAGAGTGTAGCTGAAGCAATAACCACACAACAAGAAGGAGGCACTCCTTCGTGGTGCGACCCCAGGCCGCCTCATCAGTGTGTATGGCAGACATACATGTGTGAGACCAAGCAGCCATGTGCGCCCCAGAGTTGTGGACAAACCGAACACCGAGCAGGTGTTCCACGGGCAACATTCGTGCGTGTGCCAACAGTGCTGCATCGTTCGCAACGGAACCATACAGCAGTGCCATCCGACACACGACGCGCGCGCATGTCTCTCCGCGCGAACAGACAGCCTAGCACGGGCATGACACGTAAACTTGGAGTACGACGTCATACCCCGAAGAAAACTCGCACGCGAACCAACGGGTGCAGGTGTCAGCAAGAAAAAAAAAAAATCGTGTGTGTTCTTTTTTTTGTTTTTTTTTTCGACAACTAGCCAGCCATAACGTAGTTCCGCAGAAATCAATGATGCATGTCCGCACATAAGACCACCATGGTTGCAGTGTCCACGTCAAGAATACCGCCAAACACCATCCTGCACGCGGCACACGGACGGACACCGATATGGCGGTGCAGACAAGACGGTTAGACTATTGTGTGGCGAGACCTACCAGCGTAGTCTACATATTTCGAAGGGCGTGGAGGAGGAAAACTCGCACCACAAAGATTGGCCCACAACTTGTACATGTGTGTGTGTGTTTTTTTTTTTTTTTCATTCCATTGGCACGAAGCGGGCGTCGCACCTCTGGTTTGTCGTGTGCCCAGTGAGCAGCGCTGTTGGAAGAAGCGGCACTCAGATGTGGGCACTCCCCCCAAACGCAAAAGCACGTCCTCTAACGACGAGCCTTGATCGTTCAACTCATGCGGTTGCGGTCAAAGGACCCCCCAGGGCCCAACGTAGCCCCCCCCCCGTGCCCGGCACCAGCGCGGTGTAGCACGGCGAAGCATAGGCCGCGATGGTCGCGTCCACGAACGTGGCCGTCTAGCGGTCAGGTTGAGGAGTGGAGGTAAACGCGGGCCCACCGGTGAGCGCGCAGTCGCTGTGGGGCCGAGAGAGCCACCGCCAAGCAGTCGCCGAAGCCGCCGCGGCGGAACGCCGCGTGTTGCGAGGCGGCCTGTTACTCTCTCAAGTATTTCCTTTCTCCTCGATAGCTCCGGCGTATTTCGGGAGAGAGAAAGGGGACTGAACAAGGTACAGTCATTTTCCAACATGCTTCATGGGATATCTGACTCTTCCCGATTTCGTTCCGAAATCCGGATTCGTCTCAAATCCGAGATTACATTGGTGCATTTCCCCCCGAAAAACGGTTTTCTGAGATCGCCTGGGAATGCGCCTTTTGCCCATTTCTCCGTAGCATATCAGCGAAAAAAACACGGAGTTGGGTCGGCCTGACCTCCTCGACGTGGTACGCTCAAAACCGGTCAAGAAAAAAATCAGACCTCACATTCGACCAAATATAACCAATCAAAATCTTGCAAATCTCGGCAAAATTACGATACCCTAACTTCATAAAAAATTAAAACAAAAAATCTGTTCCGATCAAACGATCCGCCTCAAACAGAGCTTTCTTATGATATAAAATGTGTCACTGGAGGGTACGTCAGTCACTCGGAATCAATTCCAGAGTGATCTTGGGAGGTCGTGGCAAGATTTAGCGGATGGACTCTATTATTACTGTACATGGCAAATACATAGATCCAGATTTATTTGCGGACCTTGCGGACAACAGCCGCTGGCTTCGACAGCACGGCCTTGGCAACAGGTAGGTCTGGGCATGCAAAGCGCATGCCGATACTCCATGATGTCTTCTACTGCTGTACAGTGTCCTTGACAGATAGTACAGATTGGTAATGCGGGCCGGATATGAAAAAAGTGCGAGTGAACCAGAGTGAACCAAGGTGACTTCTCCCTTCTTCCCCTCGCTCCTCGACAAGCTTTTGCTTAGACATGGGTTGTAGTGAAGGGGGGGGTCTTTCTGGCGAGCAGGGCTAGACTCACCCTCAAGGGATGACCGAAACCTTCTTGCTGCTACGCTCCGCCGCGAGGCGTGCGTGTGGTGGTTTAGTTGGGTCGGCACTGATGGGGTCAGGCGGGAAAATGTAGATGCGCGGGCCTTTCTGGCCGTCGGCGTAGGCAGCGATGCCCATCTCATTTTTGTGCGCGGAGGCAGACATCATCAGAAAGGTGGACGGGCACTTCACGGCCCTAGGTTTGCTAGAGGGAGCTGTAGTGCCTCAGTAACCTGGCTTCGCCATCAAAGGAGGAGGGAGCAAGTGGCGACGAGCTGAACTGGGCTGGTTGACCCTTCGGCGCGAGAATTTTTATTTTTTCAGACCAAGAACCTTGAGTGCAACGAGGGAGAAAGCGAGGAACCGACTGGGAAGGACAGCAACGAGAGCATGTACGGACGGAGCAGATCGAGTGGCGTTCTGCTCGGGCTGACTACAGCGGCGCCGGATGGAGCAGCGGCACCGGAGCATGCGGACGACATCGACCCTTGGGGCACGGAGAAACATTTCTATTCTGTCTGTCTGTGTTGTCATTTTTTTCGTTTTTTTTCTGACTTTCGGTGTTGGTTTTGTGTGATGACGTCGTCACTGGTTTTGTAGAGAGAACCGTCAGAGATGGCGTGGCTAACCCGGGTGCCTTGGTTTTGTGCCTGATCGTGGAAGACCCCTTCAATGTGGAACGATTCTTAGCTAGTGTCGATATTTTCACTGCAGTGCCTAACACAGACGATCGGGAGAGATTCGGGTGATTGTCAATTACTATCATGGCCTGGTTTGTTGTTCTTTTTCACTGTACGTCCGCAGACACATTCTGACAGCACTTCAGACAGCAGCTTTGTGCCCCGCCAGCTTCTTGTTCCATGCCTACCATGGTGTTTTTGTACAGACAGCACTTCAGACAGCAGTATGCTGTAGTCGGCAATGTCGTTTTGGTACAGAGTGTGACAGGCAGGGGGTGATGCTACTGTAGTCGAACGGTGGGACGGACGTGCAGTAGTTCAGTTTTTTTAGGCACGCATATGCGGTGCTCCAGGGATTTTAGGTGTACCCCTTCGGGCTCTTGTATACCTTGTTCTTTTACGTGTGTGTGCGTGTTCTTTACATCCTCAGATGGCTCTAGCACTCTCGTGACCACGGGCTCAGAGTCTTCGCTAGATTTTGGCATTTAGCAATTGGCATACGGTTTAATGTGAAGACAACAACAACAACAACAACAAGGTGAACATCAATTGGTTGGCACAGATGACATATATATTCAAGTTGGTTGATACACTGCTCCGCTGCTGCTGCTTGCTGTAGGGGTAGACTACATGTGTGTGCGTGTGCGGAGGAACTGCTGCTGTAGATGTACACGATATGCTGTTGGAGGCAAGCCCCAACCGTTGCTCTGTTTCGCGATTCACGGAGGTTGCGTTGCGCAACACTTCCCGATTGGTCCGTGAACTTCAATGTCCTTCCGTTGTGCGACCCGTCAACACAAACAGCAGTCACAGTCAAAATTTGAAACAAACGGTTGGGCGGTACGCCTTTTTCCAGCCTGCATACCCCCCTGAAGAGGAGGACAGCAGGAGCAGGGCAAGAACGAGAGTTAGGCAGAGAGAGACGAGAGGGCGAGGGAGAGTATAAAGGGCTACTGCAGGAGGAGGAGCATCAATACAAAGTTGTGATCTTCAGACGTCCGTGGGTTCAGCCGCAGACCCGCCGAAGGGGGCCAAGTTTTCGCCGGGGTACAGCCACTTCGCCCGCTGTGACTGCAGCAGGTGTGATCCACAACAAACAGCAACAGGAGGGCGGTGCATCATGTCGCGTTGCCACATGAACGAGAATGATACCTTCTCGGCGACAGTAAACGCGTACTCCAAGGAAATGGAAGCAGTCCTTAGCCAGAGGCGGAAAGAGATGAGTCAGGCCTGGGAAGACGTGGACCGGGGCTGGCACGAGCTCAACCAATGCAGAATCGACGCCGGCATCACCAAACCCTCTGGCTCCCAGCAAGGCATGCTGAGGTTGAACGTGGGTGGCTCGCATCTGAACTTCCGCCGCTGCATCCTTGCTGGCAGGAAAGAACCTTCGGCTACCTGGGCCCTGGGCAACCTGTTCGAGAGCGTGTGGGACGACCGCCTCCCGCGAGACAGCGATGGACGGATCGTGCTCGACGAGTCTCCGGCTTGCGTCAAGCACCTCATTCACTCGCTCATAGAGAGCTCGGGAGCGGCACCGGGCTCCCTACCCCGCGGTGATACCTTAGCCCTAGACGAGATGGTGTACCTGCCCTATGTCGCCCGCGCACTCGGGTTGTCGGCGTATATACCTCGGCAGGGTATGGAAGTAGTAGGCGGGACAACGAGCCTCAGCCACTGTGAGGTTGGGGAACTGACGGCAACTCTTCAGGGCTGGTGCCCTGGTAACCCCAACACCATGCGACTGCTCTACCGCGCCTCTCGAGACGGCTGGAGTCCGTACCCGTTTCATGCTAGTTGCGGGAACAACAGCCCCAACACGATCACGTTGCTAAGGGTTGGCGCCAGCCAAAGCATCGTTGGCGGCTTCTCGAGCGTGCCTTGGAGTCCTCACGCATACGGTGGGGATTCGATCATGAGCTCTCTCGGGGCGTTCATATTCATGCTCAAAGATAGTGATATGGGAGGGCCCAACAGCTTTCAGCCAGTGAAATGGGGCAAAAGGGACAACAACGGGGGATGCGACGTGGTTGTCGGTGCCAGTCGCGGGCCTTACTTTGGACGAACCGACTTGGTGGTCAACTTCAACAACTACTTTCCTGTAACTCTTCAGGCACAGCCGTACAGTTACGACGTCCCGTCAGGCTCAACGTTCCCTAATCTCAACGGACAAACTATCACGGAAATCGAGGTATTTCAAGTGTATTCAGCGGCAGCAACTACATCGTCGCCTTCCAAACGCCTCAAGATTCAGGGCCCAGAAGACACTCATGGCGCTGTGAGTACTAGCTCCACGAACACGGCCTCGCGGGAAGCAAACTCCGATGCAGAAACATTTGGCAATGCAATCGCCGGCGCCCTCATGGAGGAGCGAATCGCATTGCACCAAGCCGAAGCCGAGCTCGAACAAGCACACAGCAAAGCGGCGGCATCCGGCGACGCGTTGGCAGCGGTCTACGGTCCCGAGGTCGCACGCGGTGCCATCGATACAGTGGTGGAGCTCAGCGTGCGGGGGACCAGGATGACGACCTTACGCTCGACTCTGCAGGCCTGCCGCGAGTCCGCCCTCGCCGCTTTGTTCAACGAGGACAAGTGGCCGCCCACCGACAAGGACGTGGACGAGCAAGGCCGACGTCTGATCAACTGTAGCCCTGCCGTGTTTCAGAAGGTCTTGGACGTGCTGCGCATGAGGAAGCGCGCGGCCTGGGCAGCTTCTGACCGAGAATTGGCACATGTTCGTGTGGACGCAGCTGACCGCCCGGCGTTTGATAGTTTTGTCAACATGTACTTCCCGGGCTTCGAGAACTTCATCACGGACATGGTCGTTCCTCAAGGGTCTGCCCGGAGCGGCTAGTGCACCTCATGAGGCGTGGACCGAGGGTGAGACGTTGGTATATGTCGGTTGCGCCAGAGTGTTGCGGTGAGATCTTTCTGTAGGGTTAGAGATCTCCAAACTCAGGTGGTGTTGGTTGGCGCCAGTAGGATGATGCAATCGTTACCGTCGCGTGATGGGATTTGCAGTCGCGTGGGGCTGGAATTCGCCTTGTCAACAGTGAGTCCGGTGATATGTGCTTTCAAATTCACTCGCTTCTGGCACCGACCGTCAATTGTTTGCTCTCCCCTCTTTTTTCCCTTTTGTCAGTGTGTTAAGGGCTGCCAAGACACGCCGCGCTGAGTCGGTTACTTCCTGCAACGACGTAGCTCACACCGGGCTTTGTTTGTGTGGGGGGGGAGGCGAAACAATGTCTCGCGTGGTGAGGGTTCTTATTTTGTTCCTGAGCTAGGCTCTGCCTTGTTTGCTATGCATATTTTCATATCACAAAGAGTTGGAAATGTGTGTTCTTTAACCGGAAACTAGTAACGCAGATGGTGACATATGTATGTAGTGGCCGACACCTTTGTTCAGCCCGTGCGCAAATACTGGTGCGTTGATATCTTGATGTTGCCCATGGGTCGGGATTGGAAATTGTTGACGACTTCCTGCCCCGTTCATTCTCGCGTGCTGTTCCCCATGATTTTCTTATGTTTTGCTGTGGATGTACTGGCCGTCTCTTGTTGTTGATATAGGTTAGCTTCAATCTGGGAGTGATTGGCAGCCAAAGAGAGTTCGTGCTTGTTTTGATGGCGTGGGCATAGCGGTGTTCGAAGATCAGAGAATGACGTACCGGGTAGAGTTCAGACGGTTTTTGCATTTGTGAGCAAAACGCCAATCTCTCAACAACAATCTTACCTCTAACTTGAAGTACTGCTGCAGCGCCGCCGCCTCGTCTCTTCGGATGTTGATGCACAAGTTGTAGTGGACGGATGGGAAGATGTTGACCTCCAGGTGCTTGAACACGGACACCTGTAGAATTTCAAGGAATGATTTTCCCACCCATACAATAGTGAAACAATGCATTCAGCCAAACGCGATTGGGCGTGAAACAGAGTGGCGCGAGACAAGGAGAAACTCATTCGCCTTCAGTTGGTGCTGGCTGCAGGCCAAAGGGTTGTAGGATTTTCATTCCGGCGGGCACTTCGCACTACTGTACTAATAGGACACGCGTTTGCGGATGTATGTTGGCCGCATTGTTCCTTGTCAGCACACGCCTTCCTTGTCGCTCTTCGATGCCCCATTATAATGTGATTCGGGTCTTGTCACTCGCCTCGGTATTCCCGACGAGGACGGGCGGACCACCGTCTGCCCTGATAGATATCATTATTTCCTTTGGCTTATGCGGTCGGGCGGTGCAGCCTGTGGCCGTGCTGCCATCCTCGCTTCCGCAGCATGACCATCTCCCAGCTCGCCTTGCCCAGCATGCAAGCGAGAACAACGAGTGAACAACAGACGGAAATTCATGGGAAAAAACGAACCGGAACAGTGCTGGCTGTGCGGCATCAAAGAACGGGCCGGTACTACCAAGTACTTCGAAAACACCAAGGCGTTTGGCGCATAACAACTGCTGTCTTGCTTACCCTTGAGGCCTGGTGGCGTCGGTGGCATGGCCGACACCGTCGATCACGAATACACCGTCTTCACCGTCGCTGTCGCAGTGAATTCTGGCAAAGTCAAACCGGTATGCGGACGTCAGGAGCCGAAGCGCGCGAGGAGCTTTGATCTACCAGTGGTGTGAACCGGAAGATTCCATGGCTCTCTCTACTCCCTAGTTATGCCGACCGGTTTGAAAATTCACAAACTTTCTACTCTCTCCGGAAACTCATGTCACATGCAAAGTTTGGAATGTTTGGACATATTTCGGCCTGCTTGTTTTAGCACAACAGTGATTCTGTTCTGTTCTGTACAACCAAAGACAACGAAGAATTTTCAAAATACTTATGACCAGGACTCTCGAGACTTGATTCATGTCGAAAAGGTGCGTAGCTCTGGATGAATATCCGATACGAGTTGAGCGTCATGGCCGTACCGTTGAAAATAGTACCGTAATACGCATATTGTAGGTTCATACCTGGATAGGCGATTCGATCAAATGAACAGAACTTCCGTAAATACCAAGGAGGTAGAATGCATCTCGAGTTTGACCAACGTGATTTGGTAGTGGTTTCGTGTCATGATAGAACCTAAGGCTTCTTGATTTCTTCACTAACCCTCCTCCATGCTGTTCGCTAAAACCGTGAAGACCAGGCCCATTGGCAGCGGGTCAGGGTCGTGTAGTTACCCCAGTGCATCACCCCCATGCCATCAATGCCACCACACGTCCCTTCAAACAACACGGCCACCGATGTACAATCACCCGACCCACTCCTCATTCTGAAGAAAATAATTGCGCTGTAGCGAGCTCTATTGTTAGCTAGAATACGTGCAAGAGCAACGTATGGACCCTCACCCTTTCTTATACGGTACCCTTCAGAGCCATACCGAACATGCTTCATTCGAACCTGCAAGAATCCCACGCATTTTCCTCCGGAATGAACCTCTGCTTGCAAGAGGTGCAGACAGACGTGGTCGACGGCTTGCTCGAATCTTGCAGCAGAGTGGGCGAAAGCACCGACCGCGAATCATACTTCACCCTCCCCTCCCTCCCGACGCCGATCCAACTACTGCCACCACCACTTGACACGGACGATATATATCGTGAAGGCGAACGGGGCATCACCGCCGCCGCGGATACCGGAGAGGAAGAGACGCTTTGGCTCGGGTTGGCTTTGCCTTTTCCCGTCTGCTCTCCTCCTCCTCCGCCCCGTGCTCCTCTGTCTGTCGCCCCGGCCGGGGCGAGGCTTCGCACCCAAAGGCGCTCAATCTGAAACATGACGTTTTGTATGACGACCCCGGACTAGCGGACACCGGAGGGGCGGATGGAAGGGGGTCGGTGTGAGAAACGAAGAGCGGTGAAAAGGGGAGTTCGCCAAGGTCCATGTCCATGTGTTGCTCTCTCGATCACTGATGGTCTGGACACAATTGTTGCGTACTCCTGGAGTGAAACGATGAATAGTCCTCGTGGCCAACGGTTAACACCTCTTGTGCATAGACTCCAAAAGCCGAGGCATAATCATTCATCACATTGTTGTCACCAAGGTGCACTCAGAAATACTTTGACGCAACGTGAAGTAGGTTGTGAACAGGTGAAACGGTTGGCTCGTCCGGGTCTCGCGGTCCGAGCCCGAGTCAAACTCTCCGCTTCACGCCGGCTACTTCACACGTAGGTTGTTTACCTCCCTCCGCGTCTGTACTACCATCGATCTGGATGTTCCATACATTCCCGGTCCTCATTTGATGTAGTTCAATCTCTCTCAGCTTTGTATTTCTGCTCTGCCTACTCCAGCAAGCATTCATATACATGCCGCCAACGTCTTACCCCTTGTCCGCCTTGCGCCAGATAATTGTGCGTGGATGATAGGCCTGTCAGCCCCACTTCCATCTGGTCCGAGTGACGTCCCGCCTGCGTTTCATCATCATCATTCCTCAATCAATCATCATAGCGCAACAACTTGCTCGTCGTCAATGTCAACCATACGCAGGCTGCTTGGGCGTCGCCGTTGTACTGGCTCGATTTTCTATATGTTGTATTCATATATCAGCAGTCAGAAGTCCTGAGGCGATCGACAAACTTCAGAGCTAAAACCCCGCTACGCCGAGCAATCCTGGCCCCTCCTCACTTTCTGTTCCGTCTTCGGTCCCATGGTCAGCCTCCATGTGCACTTCCCGATCCTGTATTCGAGGCGGGTGAGCTCCCGCGGTTGTCCATCCGCTGCTGACCCTGCCGTCGATGTCGGATTCCGTCCTCCTGCCTCCCCGACCCCTCCCGTCCGTATCCGAGGCGGCGTCACGGGGCACGACAGATTCGCTGTCGCTGTTGTTGCATTTGTTTCCGGTCGTGTTGTTGAGACAGGTCCCGCTGTTGCGGTGGGTGCCGGGTCTCCGACTGTTGATGAAGTAGCAGCGGCCGCGGCGATGGGAGAGGTACAGCCGGAGGAGGCCTGGGGGGGGATGGGCCCTCCTTCTCGCCGGGTTCTGCCGGTGTTCAAATATTTGGCATTGTGAATGGCGTTGATGTCCGTTTTGTTGCTGTTGCTGCGGGCCCAAGACCTGAGAGTCTCCTCCACAACATCCTTGAGGTAGCTCCTTCCGATATTTTTTACCGAAATTCGATGTGCAAGGGAGAAGGGCGACCGTCAGGTAGGATTGGGATTCGACCTAGCTTGGGGGTGAGAGAGAGATGAGAGAGAGATGAGAGAGAGATCGATGGTGTGAAACGGTGTGTAGCGACAGGGTACTTCCTTCCACTTCGGAGCGCGTTCTAGATATGGGGGAGAGTCTCAACTCGCCTCTTTCACCAAACACATATATAGTTTGGAACCGTGAACCATGTACCAGGTTTTCTCCATTTGAATCCACCTCGTGATTTCAGCATGGGTAGTCAATGCCCCCTCGGACAATTGCTACCCCTGCGGTGCTATTGCGAAGGCAAAAAAACATCGACAAGGGTGCCAGAGACTTTCCTGCAACTGGATCAATGTCAGCGAACGCGCGCGGGGCCGTATCTACCATCACGACCACGACACTATTGCAACTGACCGGCGCTTTTCACCGCTGTTGATGTTGATGTTGAGGCCGCCTTTGTTGCCCTCTGCGGTGAGGTTCACGGCTTCGCCTAACACCTTGTTTGCGATTGGTGCACCATGATGGTTGGGCGAAGGTGGAAGGGGAAAGGAGAAGGCAACAAAGAGCGGCCCCGAAGGTATACATGGGCGAATTCCATAGTGGAAGGAATGGAAACAACATGATTTTCTTTCTACCCATGCTTGAGGCATCCCGGTCGACGCGAAGAGTATGGCGATATGACCAAAAGCACAAACAAGGCCACGAGGCATCATGGGCCGTTAGCTCGTAGAATCGACGTGCATTCGATTTCTTTCATAGCAACAGGCCAGGTCGAAAACTTGAAACTACGTCTGCAGCACTTCACAATGTCATAATGTTACCTTGAATTTCAACGGGGGTCGTTGGAACTTAACGTGTTTGGCAAGATTTCTCGTTATCCACGAAACTCACTGTACTGTAGGTTCTCCGCGGGGTTGGGCGACAAGAACCAGTAAAGATCACGGACAAAGTACATCACCTCGCTGTCGATCAAACAAATGACGTTTCCAACAACGTCACCGAAATGGTACAAATCGACCCCGCTGTCCATGCCAGTTCAACCGGTTCGACCATGGCTTCCTAGAAAATTGCCAAATGAATGACGTCGACACCTTTTCGCTATCGATGCAGCCTTCGGCCCTCCTCTGCCGTTTGCGCTCCCGAACCTTGCCGCGGAGCTCAAGAGGCGGCGGGACCAGCAACAAAGTATTCACGACGTCCAGCACCTCGAAGAACTGTCGTCAGATATACATTGCCGGACGTAGCGCAAGGTGCACAAGGCGGTTCCGTATTAGATTCAATCAATCGTGTGACAGCTTGGCCGCTACGAAGCGTGCGGACGGTAACATACGCAACAACCTGCCCACGGTAGAGGACACGCAGAGCGAGTCGGTGTTCATTCTGTGGATGAAGCGTGTAGAGAATCACGACCGTTTGATCCTCAATGTGAGGGTGTGAGGGCTTGCTGTGCAATCCGTTCGGCGTTGGAAGACACAGAAACGGACAAACAGTGCAGACTGTTAATATTGCAGTCGAACCTACAGTAGGCAACAGCAGGAAATTGGTGTTGCTTTCCCTTGGAGACATTTCGTCGGGACCATTAATCGGAAACAGTCCATCTGTACATCCCTACGAAGCCGGAATGAGGCGGGATTGCCGACCGGGTAGGACTTTGTGGGGGCCCAGGTAGTCGTTGCAAGGGGGCCCTGACAATGCGTCTTGCTAGGGAATGATGATAAGTAGATCGGCGTAAAGACCCTTTCGTCGCCAGTCAAATGAAACGACGGGAGGACGAAGGTGCTCTTCCTTATCCACTAATCGGGCCCTTCGTTCTCATGGAAGTTTTCGCGAGCACAAATACCATCCACCAGCGAATACTCACCTGTCGTATTTCGGGTTAGCCGAAAGACTAAGACTATGTAGGCAGAGCCCTGGCTTACTCTGTGCCTAGGAAGTACTTCATTACCTCAATAGCACACATGGATCAAAGCGCCAATATACCGCCGACATCCAAACCCGACTCGATATTGTCAATACCTGGCGTGAGTCCAGGTCCGAAGACAGCTCAGGTACGTCCAAACGTAGTCTGTTTACGGGAGGCCGATTGACCCTCTTCAGCCCCACACCACCACCCGCATCACCGCTACCACCGCCGCCGCCGCCTCTCCCACCTCCGGTTGGCCCAGCGCTTGTGTTTCCACTCCCGACACGTCTTCCCGCCGATGACTTGCTCAAAGCCCGACGAAATCGCTCTTGTGACTCGCGGAGGGGAAGCGTCTCGTGGTAAACGTACAGAGCATCGACCGAAAAGTGCCGCATGACCTAGAAGGTGTCCGAAAAGACGTTGTATAGATCAGAAAACGAGGCAAAAGGCGGTATAAAACCACATTCCATGGGCAATGAGAAAATTGGCAACGCAAAGGACAAGGTAACGGCGAAAATCGGCAATCTAAACTAACCAACCGGAGAGAAATAATGGTCAGTTCGCGAGAGAATACATTGTTTGTGTTCTGCACATGTCAGGCACACACCACCGTACCACGCAACGCCCACAAGCACCGCTGTGCATAGTTTGCCACACCCACCCAAGGCATTGGCGATAAACGAGCCAACGAACCTACCTCTCGGAGCTCGTCCCTTTCTTCCGTCGCCCCGGCCGAGATCCCGCCGTCACCGCTCTCGCCACCACTTCCGGCGGCACTCCCGCGGCCCCCAAAACCCGATTCTTCTTTGGTCTTGCCCCTTCCGCCTCCAGCTGCAGACGCATCAAAAACCCCAGACGGAGACCGAGACTTGACAGGGCGGGAGTGCGACGGGGTGGGGATTCCGTCGTTGGAAAGTGGCACCGAAGGTGTGCGTAGTTGTGGCACGGTCTGTCTCCCAAATATCGCTTGGAAACGGACGAAGATGAAATCGAATCGACACACACAGCCGGACTCAGGCATGTGGTGCACGAGGACAAACGTGACGCCAGTAATCGTAATCGGTTGCGTACTTTTCTCTCGCGACGTTCGGCCACCCACCCACCCCGCCCTCCGTCATGGAAATAACTTGCCGTGGCAACGTTTATTACGCCACATGTGCCTCCGGAAAACATTCGAACTAACAATGACACTTGGCGGTATACCCTACCCTGTGCCACTTAGCATATATCCCCTGCAACCGGACGCCGACACTGTCGAAATATGCATGTACGATTGCTTGACCGTGGCTACACCGCGCCGTCATGCACACGTGCCCCTCGTCGGTGGAATGAAGGAAAAACGTCACCAATGACAAACCCCGGAAGTGCATCATGTCCCCCATCCATACCTCGTCTGTCGAACGCCTAGCACCGTTCTCCGCGCACTCAGCCGCAGGTATGGAACCAGGCGCCCCGATTGTTGGCCGATCGATAGCCTCGCCGTCGGCACCGGTAGTGCCATCGTTTCTGTTACCAATCGACGTAGCCCCCGCCGTTCTTGCGGTCGGAGACGCCGGAGATGATGCCGGCGAAGGAGCAAAAAACCGTTTGGCCGGGCTGACATCTCGTCCCGTCTTGGTTTTTACCTCTGCCGCCCCCCCTTCTGCTCCTGTCGGCAAAAATGGTGATGTCACTGGCGGCGGTCCCGATGATGACGGTGAATTCCGCGTTCTGCCGACTGGGGGGGGCGAGTACCTCGCGGCGGCAGCGAGCGAGGACTTCGGTGCCCCGCTTCTCGGCGCTGGTGAGACTACGCCCTCAGTGGTTGCTGTTCCGTGCTCTACCCACCTGCCACAGGAGAGTAGTGGGTGTTGGGGGAAAGGTGGAGGACAGCAAGGGAGGCGGTTACGGGTTGGGTGTGGCGGGAGAACTCACTCCAAAAACGTCTCTGTACAAGACCGCACATCAGCGTCGTGAAACAAGCTGAACCACCATAGATCAATGTAGTCGGTAGCCCTTACTGATGCCACCCATGGAACGTTGTGCGTGTGTCCAGAATGTTATGCACTAATAGGAGTATATCGTATTTTGAGGCACACGCCTCCTGCTCTCTCCATGTAGACCGTGTTCATGCTTGTAGGCGTCCGCCATTGTTACCAGGATACATCGAATGCCAGTGATTCTTCACGCTTTAGTGCCGTTTCTCTTCATCTTTGGGCTCCTCCGAGTTGGCCCTAAGAGCTGTATCCCAAGGGGCTTCGCCCCAACTCATCCTACCCACCCCGTGCCCAGTTTCCACTCTGTTGAGTCTCCTCAACTTCTTCGGGGTACCCATGCCGTGTCCACCATTCTTACATGGTTCTGACTGCATTGGCCCATCCAACATGTGTTGGGTACAACTGTCTACTAATTTTTCCGAATAAGGTGAAACATCAGTCAATCGAAAAGTTGATGAGCAACGGCAGTCTCTCCCTTCGTGTGTTGGTGTCACTGTTATTGTTGTCACCTGTCAAGCCCTTCCTCTGAAACCGGAAGCGAGAAAACCCTTGCCTTCTCGAGCTTCACCTTGATATCCTTTCGTCTCAGGGAAGAGAAGTACCCCTATGTTGAAAAACCAACACAGCCGCAACATCGTAGCATGCGAGGAGCGAGGGAACGACACCGTGCATTACATTGTGGGACGTCCTTTAGCCCACGAGGTTCTCCGAAGGGTGTCGTGGGCGCCTTGTTGTACTGAAAGGCGGCGTTCATCAGGATTGACGAAAACGGGTTGTTGCTATTGCAGATGAGGCTTTTACGATGCCTCTTCGTTTTCTCTCCGAGGGTGCAGAGGGGTGGAATTGTCTTGTGGTGTAGATGGAGGTCTTACTGTTGGTAAGACATTCCAGGAAAATTTTGGTGTAGCAAAAAACTCGCTCATGCGTTAATCTGCTTGACGGCATTCTGACCAAGCTACGTATCCGGAGTGTAGCCGTCCGAACGAGACTGCCGCAAGGATGGAAACAACATATCAAGATCGGGCGCTCTGTACCATCTCTAGGGCAAAGTTAGCGTCGATCTGCAATCGACGCCTGTTGGCATAGTTATTGTGGGGAATCTGAATGAAAAATATCCGGTGTTTTGTAGTCTCACGGAGCGGAATGCCGACGCGCCCGGCGAGGCGGGAGAGGAGGACACCACCCCCCAGGTGCCGTAGGTCCTAGCCTCCACGTCCGCCCCCTCGGCACACAGAATCAGGGACGCGTTGTCGCCTAGGAGTTTTATCTGCCACCAACAACAACGCACGTTTTTCACAAGTCGCTATGAACGTGCACATGTTGGAAGTGTGAACGCAAACAGCAGTTGTGCGGGGAAGAAGGCAGTCGAGGGAGGGGTAGCGCGAACGGGCGCCAAGAGCCGGAAGTGCACGCGTGCCCACCTGCGAGGTGGTTCTACAAAGCTCTCGTGTGGCGTAGGTCGGGTTTGATACTCGTCGGACCATGCCTGTGCATACTTGTTCCTACGTTGGTATCATGTGTAGCAACTGTAGACGCTTTCGCACCCCCTACTTACATAGGGTGTGTGACATTGTCTGTCTCTTACATTGGTTGGGAGAAAAAGGCAACCATAGGTTTGCGCCTTACTGGTTGGAAGGTCCGGGCATGCAGTCAGCAAGCACCGTAGAGCGTTGGTTTACCTGTGGGTTCTTGAGATGCACCTCGAATTCAATGTGCCGTTTCCCCGGCGCGCCGTCCGATCCCTGAGTCCCACCACCGCCACCATGGTTGCTTCCGCCCGCCCGAGCGGTGGTCTCCCCGCCAATGACAACGCCTTTCGACTCTCGTCGCGGGGATCCCGATTGGCGTGGCGAGACGGAGCTGATGTCTCGAGGGAGGGAAGACGGGGAAAAGGAAGAAACTAGCCGTCCTCGGTGCGCTGGAGAACCCGCCCAACCTCCCGTGGAGGCTGCTGCTGCTGCGGTCGCGGATGATGATGAATGAATGTCTCCTTTATTGTTTGGGCTTGTGGGCTGTTTCTGGTCCCGCGTCGGTTGATTGAAGTTCTCGTTCAACCTGCAAATGGTTTGGTATCGGGAGAAGGGGGCCGGGAAGACCGGGGCGGAAAAGGGTCGCGGACGGGAAGTCCGGGGGTCAAGAAGGGACAGGCGCGGCGGGTGGGGTGCAGACGCAGTGAGGGAGGGCCATGTGGCGGTCGGTAAAACATGGCCTTGGACAGTTAATCGTGTACGTGTCTTTAGTTTTCTTCTCTCAATCTTGGATCGTGCTGTCTGGATGACCAACAATACCAATTCAGTCTCGACGACGGGGAATAATTGCAACTCCAACGCTAGGTATCGATCGGGCAGCACAAAATGACACGCCGTCAGTCGAAAGAGGGACAAGAAATGCGAACATCACACAGGCATTCGATTGGCCTCGTTGTGAGAAGGTGCATACCACGCGCGGTCTAGTCTCGGTTGCGTAGTCAGGCTAATTGACTCGGGCGCCAACCTCAAGCAATATTACTCCCAGTCCATGAGGTATGCAAACAATCACATGTTGAAGACGAATTGATCGATGGCGTTGGTTCTACCATACACGGCTGGACGGTATTGCAGACATGTAGTGTAGTGTGTGTATCGCCAGTTCGAGGAGATGGGTCATGTCAGCAGGGTACGTACTTCATTGGGAGTTGTATCACGCGGGTTCATCATCGACAAGAACGAGAGCCGCACCAATGGGCGCACCAACGAAGCTGAGTTTTGGTCCGATACCGCACTCACCAATGCAAGAGGGAGTTCGGGTCGTCGTTTCCCTCCCGCCTTCCTCCCCGTGGAGAAGATACGCTTTCCATTGCCGGGCTTGCCATGAAGCTAAGCTCTGACCCGGCGGAAGATGCTTCCCGGCTTCGATCGGGGCTTCTGTGCGGTAGGAAGAGGCGAAGCAAGTTGACAAGATAAATTCTTCCAATTATGTTTAGGGTTGGACATGAAACGATCGAAATGACGCTGAGGATATCGTAAAGCAGGGAATAGAGCTCAACGTTGGGGTCCAATCTTTCGCAACGGAAAGAATTTTTCTAGGTCGGACTATTGTTGTGGATTTGTATGGCCAAGGGACAAGTGGCCATTCATCTTTCCAGCATCAGGTCTGTGGCTACGAAGGGCTCTTTTGAGCAAAGAGGCTGTGATACGGGATAGGGACACGCTGCCCTACTTGAGCCTGCCACTCAAAGAGGAGATATCACTGCATGCGGAAAAGTGGGTGGGACTCCTTCAAGTGATGTGCCCAAGGGCTGAGGAGAGAGTTTCTTATCTGCTGCAAGGAAGACATGGGGGTGAAGGAGTCCGAGGTTGACTGACAACCGTTTGCTACTCGATGCGATTCGATTGTCCTTGTGTCGGGCAGATCGCTGCAGTCTCGGACAAGTACCTTGCGACGAAGGCTGCTGGACTCCTGATGGTTTCCGGGCTACGCCCCCCCTCCGTGTCTATCCTGGGGGGAGTGGAGCGAAAGCGACAGGGTGATCGCGAATTTTCACCACCACCATCGTTTCCGTCGCCTTGCTCGCCGCTTTCCTTCTCCCCTTCGCTCCCCCCTTCTTCGTCGCGAGAGTAACCGCTACCGTTAGGGCTACGCGAGCTTTGTTGCTTCTCTTTCGAGCCGACGGCAGCACTGTTGCTACGCCCACCACCATCTTCACTACCGCACGCTGCTTCTGAAAGCGCTTGGGTTCGAACAGGCGAGCTGGTGGCGCTCTTGGGCATGCGGATGCCACCGCCGCTGCCGCCGCCGCCGCCGCCGCCGCCGCCACCGGTCCCTTCGGGTATTGTGGCCGGTAGAACCGCGTTCAAGCGCAACACTGGGTTTCCAGGATCAGAGGCCCTCCTAGCAGTCACCCCGCCACCGCCGCTCCCGTTGGCACCTTGAGAGGGAGACACAAAAGAGGACGGTCGCCACCTGCCGGAACGCGACAACCCGCTAGCGGCGGAATCCGCGCTGGCGTTGTCGGGGGCGGGAGCGCGCCTCTTGGCGCTAGCGGTTTCGTTGACGTCGCGGAATGGTGCTGAGTCGTCTTCTTCTCCGGAGTGAGAGGCACACTGGGGCGTCGTGAACGACTCCACAGCATCGGAAATGAACAAAAACTGAGGGCGAAATGCGGGTGGGTGGTGTGGGGCCACGCGAAAATGGCGATACGCGGAGGGAGGCGGGAGGGGAAGATGGGGAGTAAGGAGCAACGTTGGTGGTAGGCGCCAATCAACTTATTACGTCGAGAAAAGAGATTCCACATACAGTGGGTGGCTCGGTATCATGCCGGTGGTTGACAGCCGATACCACCGGCATTATAGCGGGAGACTGGCATTACATAGAATCGGCCTCTATAATGCCGATTCCAGCATTGCTGAGGGTCTAGGGATTCCGCTATACTGCCGGTACCGGCATTACAAAAGAAACCGTCTACCACAAAACGTGTAGCACACACCACAAGCATCAGGTGATGGGGGGAAAATGACAGTGGATGCTGTGACAGGAGGTTTGGTAAGCATTCCGCGATCGAGCAGATTTCAGAAGAGGCGCGTGCATCTAAGGGCCGCCGCATGTTTGCTCATCCCTCCATGCATCTTTGGTTCTATCCCTTGATACTTATTTTTTCGCAGAGCTGCTCAGCAGTGTCTGTGCACCAACTCTTCCTTGACGTATAATATTCACCTCTGGTGCCTCCCCGTCACTCACTCGCTAAAACACACATGATATATATCGTACGCAAATATCGAGAAATAAAATGAAGCAACAAACAGTACGAAAATAAACATCTGAACACACCCATTTACTACGTGGCGCATAACCGGCGAATACCCGCTCACACAGAACAAGGAAAAAAAAACAACAGAGAAAACCCAGCTACTAGTGGTCAGGCTGCTGGTTCTGGTGTTTGGCTAACAACGGCAACCAACCGTACGACGCACAAACCTACCAACAGGTTCCACCGAACAAACAACCAAACTACTTATTAGGATGCTGAATCGACTCAAAAACTAGCAGGCATGCATCAGATCTTGTCGAAGTAGCCCCTCATGATGCGGTAAGGTACAGCTGGTAGGGGTATATGGCCTCGAAGTGTGTGTGTGTGGTGGTGTGCTGTGTGTACAGTCCTGATGTGTGTGCAAGCAATCTTGAGAACCGGCATTATTCACTGGCCAGCTATTCGCTGGCCAACAACCCCCAGAACCGGCATTTTACCGGCTTGAAGTTGTGCCAGCCGATTTCCCCGGCATCATGGCTGGCAACCGGCCTTATTTCGACCGGCATTATATCGGGCCACCTACTGTATCAAATAGGGGGTAATAGAACGAGAGAGGGGGCGGGAGGTTTGGAGCCTCGTTTCGACTAATTGTCTTTCTGGTTCCGGAGCTGTCTTTCGCTAAATCATGGTTAGCGCTGGAAAACACGTTGGGCACTGCACCCAATCCTCCGATGCCCCGGTTCTGAAGGAGGGTTGGCATCAAGACGAAGGAATTGTCCCTCCTCCGCGTCGGAGAGGCGCACGTGGCATCGGCGCGCTGTGCCTGAATCTAGTAGGCAACGTGTACTCTGTGACATCCTTTTCGCAGCTAATGGACAACGCAACACGGATATTTGTCAGTTTCGCGTGAGGGGACGTACATCTCGATCGAACGTGGAACTCATCACCCATGTTATCGAAGTTTCGCCGGTAGTAGGCGGGGGTCGTAGTAGGGGGGGGGGGGGGGGGTACTCATAGTCGTGCATGCCGTAGTCGTTTGACCATTGACCTCGCATCCCTACAAAGCCGGGACGGAGCACGCCGGGTTCTCACCGGACCAGGCTCTCACATCACCAAGCGCGAAGCGCCGTGAGGTATTTGGCGAGTCGCATGAAGGGTGAGCTGCATCCTGCTAAGGGTGTTCGGCATCTTGTGCTTACTTCCTTGCGTACGGATGACAGCTACGTATGACTTAATTTATTTCCTGGTGCTTTCACTTCCAGAGACAGTTGTAAGCACTGTGTAACTGCCTCGAGGATGCTTGACCATTTTAACACAACGTGGTGCGATCATCCCCCGTTGCGCGGAGTGAGGTTTCTCGACCCCGCACAACATGATCTACTCGACCACCATTATGGTTACCGCCAAAAAAAAAAAACGAGGTAAAAAAAAAAAAACGGTAACCTGGTTGCCGAGTTCACGAAGTGAATTGGCCTGTTTTACAACGTCGTTGCGAAGCGACGAAAACCCAACCCCGATGGCAAACACCGGGGGGGGCGTAGTAGGGGGGGGGATCCGTCCACCTTCCCCGTGGAACCGCCACACGGCAGCAACAAGAACAAACTCTGCTTGCGGCGTGAGCCACGCTCAGGATTCTCACACCACGCCCTGCCTCTGCCCTCTCCACTCACCACGCTGTCTCTAATCTCCAGCGTCCACACCAGTCGGAGGCCGTCCAACACAACCAAGTTCGTTGCCCCCGGATTGGCAACGACGTCTTTCTCTCCCGAGGTTCTCGGGGGGGGAGCTACGGCGACTTTCCGGTCAGGCACCGCACCGTCGGGGGCCGACGACGTTGCCGTTCCCGGTCGTGGCGGTAGCAGCGGGGTGCGAGGAGAAAGGGGTGGGGTGGGGCCTGACTTCGACGGCGGCTTCGCCGAAGGGGACGCACACGATGCCCGACGACGGGGAAACCTGACGTTCTTTATGTTCCCTCTCCGGGGGCTCCGCGACGCGTCCTCGGGGGGGGTAGTCACGGCTTCCTCGCGCGCCGCTCCTCCTTCCCCCCCGGTTGCTTTCGGCGGTGCTGCTGCAGCGGGCGGTGGTATCACGAGCCTCGCCGCCGACCGGATTCTTCCCACGCTGTTGCCCAATAAGCCGGCGGCGAGCTTTGGTTGTTGCCGGAGACCTTCGGCGTCTGGTGGGACGTCGGCTGCAGCAGGCGACTGGTTCTCTCCGGCGTTGTGGCTGTTCTTGGCTTTGTCATTTCCAAATGCACTAGCGTCACAAGTAGCGGCAGCGGCGTTGTCGCCGTCCGTAGGACTTCCGCTCCCGGGGGCCGCCGGTACAGAAACCATTGATCCCTTCGCAGCAGCAGAGGGTTTCCCCGTGACGCCAGCATTGGCGCGGGGGCGCGGAGGAAGAGGGGGAGGACGAGAATGAGGGCTAGGGCAAGGCACAAGCCCGCCACCGACCGGCAAGCCGAGTTTTCTTGCGTTCCTCGTCGCCCCCGCCGTCGCTACGCCTACCGTTGTACCTTCGGCCACGCCAGCAGTTCTTGGCGTTGTAGCTGATGCTGCTGCTGCTGTTGCTGCTGCTGCTCCTGCTGCCGCCACTGGTGCTGCTGGTGGAGGTTTGGGCCCGCCCTTTCTTTGGAAAACGAGTTGCTCGGCCCGAAGGATGGCGTTCTTGTCAGCAGCGCCTGCAAGGGAGCGGTCTAGAGAAGCGAAGAGGTCGGTGCTCTCTCGTTGCCGGCCGGCCTTTCGTGGAGCGACAAGTGGATTGGGGGAACGTGCCGTACGTGCGAAGGGAAGGGTAGCGGGTGGATGAAAGAGTGGTGGATTGGTGGGCTGTATTTCGCAGTCGGATGTTGGAATGAATATGCTTAGGTAGAGCAGATCGAGAAATGATTCCCATAGCCCAGCATGAATCGACCGCGTTAAGCAACACTCCGAATAAGAGTAAGTATGTTTCGTGAGTTTTAGTTCAGACGACCACAAACTCTTCGACGTGTTGTGGTGCGAGCCTATAGACCCTCTTGAAGGTACGCCTGCGATTCCGACGCCTTTCGAGCATATCTGAACATTCTCTACCTTGCCATGAGTAGGCGTGGTGGGGAGGCGAGGAGTACCCCGGCTGTCACGGTAAGATAAGCGCCGACCGATCCACAGGCGAGACAGCCTTTGCCCTCCGAAAGAAGGAGGGGACGGGGGCAAGCTCTCCCCTCCTTCGCCACTCTCGCGGCGACTATCGGCGTGCGAGGGGTCGTCGAGGGCGACGTCGAGTCGAGAAAGACGGACAGCATAGAGGCGCAGCTCGACGTGTTTCCCACTGGCGCTGCTGTCGCCGATGCTGCCGCTGGTTGAGGCATCGATACTGTTCGTATGGAGGGGGGCGGGCAAGCGAAAATGGTTGAAGGATGGTAGACCTACCAAGAAGGAGAAAAATTCGACCCTGGCGGGCAAGGTGTATGCCACGAATGTCATTTTAATTAAGCACCAAAGCTATTATGATAGCTTATTTCACACGACGTGGTTCGTGATTGCCGGGGTAACGATGATCAACCAGTAACCGGTTCATATTCTGCGGCCGCACGACCTGCACACCCACTGCCAGTTGGAAGCTGCGAAACATGTGGGTCTACTGCGAAACGTACCACGGGCAGCTATTCGGAAGCCAACCTCAACGTACACGCGCGGTAGGGGAACAAGAAAACCCAACACCCAACCATGACATAGAGAGTCAACCAACCTGTCAATGTCCAACGCAAATCCGTCACGGTTGTCGGCTCCTCTCCACGTCGCGAGGGCGAGCCCGCGCACGGACGCGCGCACGCTCACGGACTCGACCAGCGTTAAGATGTTGGCTTCCTCGGGGTCCTCGGTAGGCTCCGAGACGCCCGCCGTAGGTCTCTGTGCGGTTTGAGGAGTTGACGTCGTTGCTGCTGAGGACGCAGCCGCCGTCGCCCCGTGTCTCGAGTTTTCCCCCGGCGGCGTTGCGGAGGACATCTCCGCCTCGTAGTCGTCGGTGGCGGCGGCGGCGGTGCCGGCGATTGGGAGTGGCATGAACCACTGGATGAGGTCGAGGCGCAAGGCTATCCAGAAACCCTGCCCGAAAACGTGCTCTTCTCTCTCCCCCTGAGGCGAGAGGAGCGGCGGAACGCAAGCAGCGCCGACGAAAGAGACGCGAAAGGATGACAAACGAAGCAGAGTGAAGGAGAAATCAAGAAACGGATAGGAATCAGTCAATCATGAGGTCGAGTAGCACCACTCACGCCGACACGAAGAAATTTCGATTGATGCCCATACCGCAGTGCGACACTTTGCCAGTATTCCGCCCGAAAAACGCAGGTCTTGGTCAGGTGTTCTCATCACATGCACCGTCCGTCAGTCGAATGGGGGAAAGCGAGAGACCTCGCTCCCCAGCAGCATCTGGCAGGAGTTCTACGTACAAATCTTATTGTACAAGACGTTTCTACCTGTGCAGGTTCCGCGTTGAAGGAATCCCTTGCCTCTCCTTGGCAACCAGACGGCCGCGAAGGACAAGACGCAGGCCCACTGAACCTCCCTCCCGCTGCTGCCGCCGAATCTAATTCCGCAAATCCAGACAGGCCACCGGCGGTTTCGTTGTCATCGTTCGCCGTGATAAAGAGCGACGGGAATGGTTGCCGTCTCGATGTATGTTCTTGTCCCCCTTCTCCCTCTTCCTCTCCTCCACCACCAACGCTACCTCCTCCCTCTTCGTTGCTCCTGCTGCCAACGGTGCTGCTGCGGTCGGCGAGCGCCTCAACCTCGCCCCCACCGCCATCGAACACTTGCCGCGCGATGCTCAGCTTGTCTCCCCGCCTCGCTTCAGCCTGCTCCAGAGGAGCCTGTTCTTCTAGCTTATCGTTAACGGTCCTGGAACGCCTTCGCCTCATGTCCGAAAGGAACCCGCTGCCGGTTACATTACCGTGGCCCGCCACCTCGGGTGCCTTCGCCCTCCTCCACCGCCGGGGCCGCAAGGGCCCGTCCGAGTCAGCGCGTTGGTGGCGGTGCGCGCGGAGCCCGCTGCAGGTGTCGCTCCCGCCCGCGTCGTCGTCGTCCTCCTCCTTGTCCTCCTCGCCCATTGGTTTGCTCCTAGGGAAGGAGTTAGGCCTCCTGGCGTGATCATCGCCGCTGCTGCTGCCGTTGTTTCTGGGGACACGTTTCAGGGTTCCCCCGTGGACGGGTGATATCCCGAGACTGCCGCCGCCGCCGCTGCTGCTGATTGTCCTCCTTACGGGTACGGGACTCGTAGCGCGGGATACACACGTTCCTCCCTGTCCCTGCGGAGATTGTCTGTCGCCGCCGCCGCCGCCGATCTTGTCCGGCGATATTTCCGCCGAGACCTTGAGTTTCAGACCTGTCGCTCGGTAGGGCGCCCACAAGTCGCTGTGACCGTTGGTGCCCGTGGCAGTGGCGGAGTTGTTGGTCTCACTACGGTTCCCTTCGACGGACGGATTGGCAGGACGAGATGCCGGTATCGGCGGGGAACAAAACCCAGCCCCTCCGCCGGAAGAGACGCCGGAAGAGACGCCGGAAGAGACGCCGGAGGTGGCGGTGGCGGTGGCGGTGGTGGTGGCAATGGCGGCGGCACTGCCAGCGACCGCGCCCCTTCCGTCTTCTCTGCCCTGGCCGACCGTACCGGCAGTCGAAATAATCTCGAGGTGGTGGCCGTTGGGACCGGCGTGTCCCGCACAGGTCCATGCGATGTCTAGTATCACCATTATCTCCGCAACGAAGGCGACGCTGGCAAAACGGGGGCAATAAAAAGAGCGGGTGCCATTGACATGAGAAACGTTGAAGTGTATCTAGAGGTCATGCTTCGTGATGCCGTCGCCTGACGCACGTTTACAACGGGTGTGACGTTCACCCCCTCGCCTCGTTCTTGCGTTCACCAGACCCAGAGTCTCGGTGAATTTCGAGCCATCCTACCTGCACAACTGCTGGATAACACTGGTACCACTTTGCGCTCACTCCCGCTCTCACCTGTGCCGCGCGCCGAAAATGCCGCCACTGTCACCCAGGCCCTTAGCTGTCCCGCCGTTGCCGCCGTCGAGGACATCTCCTACCCCCCGCTTCGCCTGGAAAGCGGGGCAATCCATTCGCATCACTCCTCCCACGTTGCTGCTGGGGAGGCCGCTAACGAAGGGTGCTACCCCCACCGAGTTGGACGGCGAAAGCGACGGAAAACTGCAGCGTCCTTCCTGTTGGCGTTGCGGGTGCGAAGAATTTTCCTCGGAGGAGAAGGCGTCTGCTGCGACGGCCGCCGCTGAGCCCAACGCGGCAGCGGCGCTTGTTCTTCTACCGTAGACGTTGCCACTACAGCCCCCGCTGCCGCGTTCGCGGTCGAGCCCGGACAACGGGCACGGAGGAGTTTTGTTGGGATGCTGGTATCGCCTTGAGGCTGGTCGGATCCGCGTGTTCTGCCCTCTGCTTACAGGGCTCTGACAAGGGCTGGCGTGCGAACTGCTGCTTCCTCGCCGGCGAAGATCTGCGGGCGGGCCTGATGCTGACGGCAACGGAAAAAAGAATACAGTTGGGGGGCGAGGGAAAGCTCAGCAGCGAAAGTTCCGCCGCCGGACCACCGCCAGCCCAAACTGTTGGTGCGAAGCTACTCCCGTCCAGGGAGGAGAAAATCGAGTTGCACGATTTCTTCTCGAGATGTTGCAATCTATCGGAAAAGAAACGGGCCGCGTCAATAACCGCTGAATGAAGCACCTAAGGGTATCTTTCTGTATCGCAGCCGTTTCTGCGACCCGATATCGCGCGGGAACGGAGAGGGGTTCACGGTGAGCATAGAGTGACTAAGGTCGACTTGATGCGTGGATGTGGAACCGTCTGTAAGACGTGTGGAGAGGTTGAACGCATTTTCAAAGGATCTCAACCGCGGTGCCGGTAGGGCGGACAACAAGGCGGACACATTGTGGATTTCGAGAAGCCTGCGAAGTTGACTACGCCCTTGCTGTTCTCTGTCTTCAGCATTTTCTCCTTGAGACTGTCTCCGGCCCGTAAAGTATGCCGGACGGCTAGTGGAGCTGCTTGGTGGCAGGGTGCTGCTGGAACTCACCTACGTCCTCCATTCTAAGCACCTCCGCAGGGGGCCGGGCTGGGGTGGAAAGCAAGGTGTGTTGCAGGTTCAGGTCCAGATGTCCACAAGTGTACGCCACCTAAGAACGGCAAAGAGAGAACAAAAGGTATGAGCTAAACCCTTGAAGGTAAGGCGAGCACCTAAGTCACCCACCCTTCAAGACCCGGACCGACAAGTCCAGATGACCCACGGCTTCCCCGCCTTATCGCTGTACAAAACCGGGAGCGTTTACACCCGTGCCAACCTGTTCGTGCGAAACCGATATGACCACTCACTTGTAAATACACGTGTAGACATATGCAGCCAAAATAGTTACGTGACGTACCTTAGCTTTGGACACCAGCAGCCTCAAACTCGCCCCGAGTGCAGCCGGTGAGCGGCCAAGCAGCGCAGTGACTTCCACCTTGTCCGCGTCGAGAGAAAGCTGTCCATGCAAGAGGCATCTGTCATCATCCAACCGGATCATACAACCACGCAACCGGAACACATATGAGCGTGTTCATGATTCGAGGCCGTGAGTGGGAGCTAACTCGGTGCGCGCATGCACCCATTTGTCAACAACAAGGAAACGGGATGGACCCGATGCTGCTGGTCGCGCCATTTTCTGCGCACACCAGCAAAAAAAACCTTGGCCTGAAGTCGGTCGACGAAATGGTCGCAAACTATATCGACGTACCAAGGATCTGTGCCACCCCAAAGCTCTCAAGTAATAGAGCTGAGCTATGTAGAGTTATCGAAGAAGGGAACGGATCGTGGTCGGGCGGATAGCCTCCATGAACGGTACTCAAACTCAAACGCGCGCGCGCCCGGTCGTCCCACCCTACCTCAGCCTATCCCAGAACTCCACATGCGGCGCCGGTACTGCTGTGGGGGCGGTGGACGGTGTGTGATCGGCCGCGCCTTCCCGGCATCCATCGTCTTTCTCTCCATCCACCCCCCCCCCTTGGTCTTCGTCCGTCTCCTTAACCTTGCCATCCTCCAGCGTAGTCGACGACTCGAGCCTCACGTCGGAAGGTGACGAAGAGTACACGGACTCCGTCGCACCGGGGCGCCGTTGATCGCAGCCTCCATTATCGGTCGCGGCCACCCCTGTCGCCGTTGAATCGTGTTCCTCTTGGTTCGACAACGACGGCTGAAGGCGAACCAGGGCTTCGACGAGTTCAATAACTGTGTCTTTCAGACACGCGCCCTAGACGTAATTCAGCAGTTTTGGAGAAAGGGCGGAACATGAAGAGAGAAAGGAAACGTGAAGGTTGCGGGTTCTTGCGGGAGGGCGTTGTGTTGTTGGATGCCCGACGTACCGAACCGAACATTCCGTGCGCACGTACGCCTTCTTCCGTCTCTGTATCCCCCATCCTACCAACGGGTGTTGCGCGCGGCGTTCCGTCGCTCGAGAGGCTGGTTCCTCGTCTCCGGCTTACCGCCCAAAATCCGTCGGTTACGTGGACTATATCTCGTACTCAACTTTCGTTGATTGCCCGTCGGGGTGTCGATGCTCGTTGAAGCAACCATACACACGCTCTCAACCCCCGCAGCTACCACACCCCGCTCCCGTTGCCTGTCTGTCGTTACATAACTCACGTGCACGAAGGTCACTCCTTTTACGCCACCCCCGAGGTCGCCGTACAGTTTCCCTGCAGTGCCGTCCGACCGGACCGAGAACTCAGCGTGGTTCGTCGTCGGATCGACGCGGCAGCCACCACCATCGCCATAGCACCAATCTTGTCCTCGTCGCAGCAGGACCACCTCCGGTGCAGTTGCTGGTGACTGGTCCGCCTCCCTCCATGCCCCATCCGCGGCAGTGCCGTCATTGGGATCTATGGCGGTGCCTGGGCTTGTTGCTGCTGCTGCTGCTGCTGACACCGCAGCCACTCTTGCTAGTGGATGATGTCGAGAGGATGACGATAGGCGAGTGTACTCGTAGCGGCGCGTGCTGTTCGTCCCAGCAATCGCAACTTGATTGGACCGGGAATCAGGTTTCGAGGGAGGGGTAGGGGGATTGAGGGCCGTTCGACAAAACGACTGTACTGAGGGTCACAGCATATTAAAGAGCCTACAATACCCATAGCGACGGCATTAGCGACAACAACAACAACAACAACAACAACAACAACAACAACAACGACGACGACTAAGACGACGACGACGACGACATCTACACTTAACACAACAATTACGGCTGTCACCTCTCGCGAAAAGGCCATCCACGACGACGTTGTCTGCGGTCAAGTACGGCACCGGCAGCCCGTCCAGGTATACGGCGGTAGACGATAAAGAGAGTTTCCCCCACCCCCCCATCGCCTGCCCGTATGTCACGGGCCCTGCTAAGCGAGAGAGTAACGAATGGGACACATTGCGCGAAAAGGACGATGTCAGGTGTGCCGAAAGTCCGTGTTGTCGTGTTGACACTTTACGCGCTATTGAATCCCTTGGTCTCAAAAGAAATGTTGCCAAGGTAAAAACTTTCTCGCTCGCGAGCAAAATCTGTTCTTTCTTATTTGGAGATGGGATGGCGATAGCTTTGCGATGGGTTGCCGGGTGCTAAGTATGTCCCCCTTGCGCTGAGGTTGTGCGTGAGGAGGGTATCCATCGATCGTTTGTGCCTCTACCGCCAGCTTGTCGAAGAAAGAAAAAAATATTTGCCTCGTCCTTCGTAGGGCCCCTCTTGAAGGTGCTCAAGATGCTCAAATTCCTCGCGTGGAGACCCTTCGAATGCATCAAAGAGCAGACGTATTGAGGAACACACGTGACGCCGAGCACTAGCCGTGCCTAGGAACAGGGTGGTTGTATCTTAGGTACAGTATAGTGGGGGTGCTGGTGCTTGCATTGTGTAGCTTATGGCCCCAGGCCTACAAAATAGCAGCCCCCCTGTTTTCCTTCAACAATGCGCGGGGCGACAGCGATGCAGAAATATAGTGTCGCCCGAACTTGGAGCACGCTGCCTTTGGCAGGGTTGTCATCAATACGTCGCCAGCTTGGTTGTCAAGGCAGCCCTAACTTCGATGTCTCCATGCACCGCACTAACTAACCTGGATGCTCGTCAAGCTCCCGAACCGCGGCGAGCAGCGTCGGCTGAGGTTCTTTTCGCGAAAGCTGGCGATGCCGACGAGTATCCACCCGTCCGTGAGTTGAATCACACACGGTACCAGGCCCAGTTCGTTGGGACAAAGGTGCACAAGGGAGCGGGAAGATACAGTGGTCATTGAAATTGGGCGTGAAGGTGGTGGAGACGCACGGGATACTGCGGCAAGACGGTGGGCAACGGTTTCGAGCTGCGAACTACCCTTCTTGCGTGTGCGTACGCCGTGCGGAATAATCTTATGTCTAGGCACCTTTCAGTGTAGATCAAGCGGCAGCAACGACGAGCGCCAGAGGCAAGCTAACGATGCAAGTCGCTCCTGTCCATCGGGTAAGCACGGACGACACCTTCTATCGAAATTTTCCTGTACCGGAAGAGCGAACGCATCAGGGCTCCTGCCTGCCTCGTCGCCTCCCCTCTCCCGCCTTTTGCGCTTAGACCACACGACATGATACAACCCTCATCACGACAACAAGCAAATCCCGAATTTGCCTATCTTGCGCTGTCAATTCGTCGTGGAGACGACTGGCTTCGGCTTACCTCGAAACTGATTTCGCCGAGAGTGAGCACCGCCAGCGGTTTCGCCCTCGCTTCATTTCCGCCAAACCCGTCCCCTCGAGCTTTGCGGGCACTCTCTGTCTCCGAAACCCGGTCGCCTACATTTCTACCTCTGTTTGTGTCGATGCCGAAACCTCTACCGTCGCCAACCCCTCCCTCTTCATCGCCGCCTTCACCCTCGGGAACCTGTGTGATTCGCTTGCTGCGACGCTTGGGGGTGTCGGCTCCGGTGGCCGCCGGGCTGGTTGAGCTCCGGCGGGTGGTCGGCCTGGCGTTATCTCCGCCCCCGTGATCGCTGAGATCGCTCCCGCTGCCGCTGCTGCCGAACCCGAGAAGGGAGGAGAGGCTCGCACCGCTCTGCCTCAAGCCCTTAAAGATCGCTCTCGGGTGCTGCGGCCACGGCATGCTGCTGCTGTTGCTGCTGTTGCCGCGTCCCCCTCCGCCGGCGCCGCCTCCCGAACCCGCGGCATCGCCACCGATGCTACCGCTCCCTCGGCCCAGGTGTAGCGCGGAAAAAAATCCCGAACCACTGTGACGGCCTTCGCTTGTGCTAGCGGTGCTCACGAACGTGACCGCTCCTTGCCGCTGGAGTTTTGAGCGTGGGAGTGGAGACGGAGGAGAACTCGAGGGAGAGGCTGGCGGGGGAGAAATGGGTGGCGGCATTCGCTCTGGCGGTGGTTCCCTTTCCAGGTGGAGGGTGAACCCTCCCAGTAGGACGGACGTGGCGCAAGAGTCCGACGGCGAAGAGGGAGAAGTCTCGCCTGGGCGTTGGGTTCCACCACCGATTTGGTGAACCCGCGGGCAGGCCGTAGGGGTGATACCAGCCGGGGTGAATCGGAGCATGGTGCGCGATGAGGAGCAAGTGGAGTGTAGAAATTGTTTCCAAGACGAATACATGTTGACTTGGCATCCGCCCAAACAAGACATAGGCTAATCGTCTCGAAATAATCGATTTCCCATCGTTCATGGTGCCGTTTGCGTGCAGCAGAGAAGGGTGACTACACCGGAGGTGACCCACGATTTGCGAAAGAACGAGTGTGGGAAAGGTCTGTGCCAGAGAGTTACCATTGTGTGGAAGATCTCCAGCACGAATCTCATCTCCACCCTCCACCGCCGACAAGGTTGGCGAGAATCCAGTCGTCGCCGTACTAGCATTGCAGGAATGCTACAATGGAATGATGATCGCAGGAATACGTCATGGAGCATGGTATCCCATAGGTCTACGTATTTCTATGAACCTCACCTAGAGCTTCCTGAATCCCCTTCCACTGCAGAATCGCCGCGAGCTGCAAGTCACCCAGCTGAAATCGAGGGGGTAAAGACACCGCTATGTGCCCCGCGCGTACCTCGATGCCCATCCTCGACCACAACGGCGGCTGCGACAGTTCCTCTCCCACGCCTCCGTCCCCGCTTCTATGTCCTCGCGCCCCCGCGCTCCCTCGTTGTGCTTTCACGTCGAGAGAGCAAGTATTTTCCGTTCCTCGATTCTCGTCCCGGCTTCTTGCAGTAGCGCTGCACCCGTTGTCGCTGTCGTTGCTTTGGCCCCGGCGGACTCCCCCCGCTCCTCCTTTCGGCCCAGCCCCCGGCTCACCACTACCGCTGCTGAGCGTGGCCGAAGCAGCACCACCAGTCGCAGCCGAGGCAAGCGACTCGTGCTGCTGTTGACGGGGCAAAGACCAATCAAGGCTTCGTCGGAACCTGAAGGAGCTGATGGCGACTATTCTGGTCATTCTGGCAAGGCTGTCGTCGCCATCGCCCGGGTGACCGTCACCGGCGCCCTCGTTGTCACCGCCGACTCCGTCCCCTTTCGACCCCGTAGCCTCTCCGTCTTCCCCCCCTGTCTTCTCCTCGCCCACTGCACCTTGCGCCTGAGAACGTTCCTCGACAAGTGGTTTGGCGCCGCCACTATGACCACTCCTTGTCGCCGGTTCCATCAATCCACACCATGTCCGTCGCCGATGCTCCCGACACGCAGGGATGGCCTCTCCTTCGTTCCTTGCCGCGGTGGCGGAGACTCCCACCGCTGCTGCCGTCGACGGCCTTTCGTCATCACCTTTCGGAAATCTATCCATGTCTGTCTTATCTTCGTGGGGGTCAGTACGAGGAGAGGCTGCGGTTGGAGCACAACTGCCATCGTCTCCTGCCCCTTCTTGCCATGCTCCGCTAGACGCGAAGCGAAGACCGGGCTGTTGTGTGAGGTCGGCCTGCAGTGGTCGCGGTGAAGGTACCAGGATTTCCAGTAAGTCTGCGTCCATTGTCGTCTTGGCGTCGTGGTCCGGCGCCGGGTTATCATCCTGCGGCGTCGATGACCTGCCATTGTCCCTCCTTCCTTCTCCTTGATTTTTTTCACGTGGACGATATGACGGAAAAACTGTCTTCGCTAGTGGATTCCGATCATGGCCAGAGTCAGTATTGGAGTCCCGATGTTCTCCCTGGTGCTTCTCCTTCTTCATGCTCATCTTGAAGTTAGCGAGGCGGACGACCGCCCGGTGGTGACACCATGGGGCATGTGACGGCGCCGACGAAGCGGGAAAACACGGGGCTCCTTCCTTGCCGCCGGCGTGGTCGCTGTCCAGGCTACGGGGTCGACCTTCCGTTGCCGGATGCAGGGAAGAATGATCGTCTGGAGACGAGGTGGAAGAGGAGGAGGAGGAGGAGGAGCGCGAGGGGCGCACCAGCGGTCGCTGGGACGGAGGCGGCGACCGTAGCGGGCGGCCTTCCGTCACCTCCGAAAGCGCGCAGCGGAGGTAAGCTCCACGCAAGAGCACTCGTCTTGTGAACTCTACCGGGGGCGGCGGCGGTGGGAGGCCCACGAGGTGGTCGATTGTCAATACCAATCGCTGGGACAGACGTAGGAGCCTGCGTTGGGCGAGGTTTCAGGGGGAGGGAATCAGGCATGGGTTGCTGGCCTTAAGGTTTTTAGTGATATAGTGACCGCGAAAGGAATTCGGCCAAGTAACAATGTTTTCAGGAGTAATTCACACACCATCTGCCGGCATCTACAGCAGGTTTTCATCTGCAACCCTAACGCCTGCTCTCAACGCACGACACGTGCCACTGCGTTTCTAGCCTTCCGAAACATGAACATGACCCATTTCGCGCTCTTGGTTTGGGCATGCAACGTCTCACATGCAGTGAACCGAGCCAGACCACGCCATGTCTGTCCGATCAATGATAATATTCTCTGCCTTTACTGCTCCCCTTGCTGCAGGCGGCGGAGGCGAGCACGGGATCGCTCCCTCTCCTCCAACAGGCGCCGCTGAGGCCGCCGTCGCAACATGACCATCGCCGCCTCTCGTTGCCGCAGCAGTGGGCTGACCGCTCCCGTCGTCATCAACCTCCTCGGTATCACCGGTGGCACCGTTGCGGCCGCCGGGTTTCGCTTGAGTGTCGTTGCCGGTCGCTTTGGCGTCGGGTGCGAGTCCGAGAACCAGTGGTACATTGGCAACGCGGACCTACGCGACAGTGGTAGCGGGTAGAGTTGAGTTAAGCTCCTTTCTCGCGAACGGTGTGGGTGTGCATTGGCACAATGCGAACAAGAGGTTCTCTTCCAATTTGCTACGAAACATTGACAACGCAAGGGAGAATACGATGCATTTTGGTGCTGGCCTAGACTGCATTGTGGTCCTCCCTTGCCAGTCCAGGGCATGCATGGCATCGCAAGATCAACAGGTCGATGACGATAAATCACAAGACTACACAGAAAACCAGCCCGGTACCGCAAGTTTTGTTCCTTCTGAAAAGAAGCGTGTCCCGATCGAAACGATGTTTGTTGACCAATCTGCTCGCTCCTGCACATGCCACCAAACTGCATGGTAATATTGTGTACATGCTTGACATTCGCAACAACAATACCACAACCGCAACACTACCAGCACGATGCCATTTCAAACCATACCTGAGCGAAGGAGAGCCCTACTAAATTGACGATATGCTCGCAGTACTCCTCTCCGATGCTCTCAGTCCCAGACACCTTTTTCCGCGACGGAAGAGATCATAACAGCAGCGCGGGAAAGTCCTCTGTCACAGCGAAGACCGTGAGGGCCTGAAATCGGTAGCCATGAAACTTGTATGTGTACGCTGTATTCCCTCAAGCGGCTGCAAAGGAAATTTGAGCACAACGGCAAGTAGATGGCCTATGCGAGAGCTGTCTGTTTCGCCACTTCGAAGTAAGATAAGCTCCTCCCTCCCAGCAATCCTTTCGCTCACACGCGATAGAGCAACTCCAACTCGATGTCCTACAGTAGTTCAATTTGAGGAACCTCTAGGTACTTGTGGCTTGAGTACAACAACAGGGCGATTAGACGCCATGGCGTCTTGGTTCGACGCTCGAGGTGTGTCTTGATATCACTGCAGCAGGTGCAAAACGAGACGTCCACCGCGCCGGCATTTGCATGCACATACCTCCTTGCATGAAACCGCCATCGTAGCCCTTGCCGTCCTTCCCAAGGAGTCTTTCTCCACCACCTTGTCCATGCGCACGCCGCGGAGTTCCAGCTTGAGGCGGCTCCATGTCGTGGCGTCGCCGTCGTCTTTGGCACGGCCTTCGGCAAAGCCTAACGGAACTCCTTCGGGGCAACCTTCCGTAGACGTTTCGACGAAGCCTATTGTAGCGGCGTTGTCGTCCCGATTGTTGCTGTTGTTGTGGCCGTTGTCTCCGTTACGAGCGCCGCCTTGGGGGTGAAGAGGGCAGCCGGTGAAAATGGCCGAGTCCCGCATTCTCGAAGCCGCCGTTGCAGACGCCGCGAAGGGAGGAGGAAGCCTGTCCGCGAGGGAAACGCTCGCCCGAGAGCACTGCATCAGGCGCGCGGGAAGGTCGAGGACTGGTGTGAAAGGAAAGGAATTTAGGGACAATACTGAAGCTGAACCTTCCTTTCGGATAGCTTATTCAAAGGAGAGAACCAATACTAGAGCAGCAGTACTTGTGCAGCAGCTAGTTGCGCTTTTATTTCTAGCGACGCTTGCAACGGGACCCTTTGATCGATCTCAGAGGAAAGGGGGAAAGGGGGAGAACGGTTGCGAATCGATCGAGAGCGACTGCATCATCCATAGCTCCTCATTTCTTTCCCATTACATGCCGCTTCAAAGAGTTCGCATGCCTTTCGAAGAAAGAGATGCATCGAGGGGGTAGTGGTGAACGTGGGCCACTTGCTGCTAGATTTTAACGTGTTGTAGGTGGTAGGTGGTTTCGAATTGTAGGAGAACGCACGTAAGGCGCGACGTCGCCGAGAACAAATTGTGTGAATACCCACTCGCACATGCAAATAATCAGGCTCGCCTTGAACAACATAGAGGTGTCTTGCACCACGGCGACCGAGTCCGAGCGCGAGCCTCCCAACGAACGGAGCAGCTTGTCGCAGGGAGCCGGGATGCGGCTCTTGCCGCGATGCTCGGTTTGTCCCTTTCGTTTGCGCAGACAGCGACAAATCCCGAGAGTGCATGGGAAGGGGGGTGCGGCGGAGAGGTGTAATTGTGTGTTAACGTGTTTAAGACAATGTTCCCCCTCTCGAACCGTTCAGTCCGTTGGTCATCAGACGTGTGGATTACTTCCGCGCATGATACTAGTGGCTACGACAGACCTACTGTAGCACGGCGACGGGTGCAAAGTAAACTGGGTAGTAAGCTAAGTAGACTCATGCGGTCGGCAGCTGGCTTTTTTTCGTATAACTCTTGCCGTACCTGTTGTACACTAACGTTGTCCGCCTCAAAGTCGAACCATCCCGGGTGCCCACGCCGTCTTTTCCCGCCAAGGCCAGCTACCTTCTCTTCTCTGGGTTCCCTAGCTATGGTGGGAGGGTTTTCGATGAACTCCTCTACAGCAACCCTCACGGTGTCAATCGACACAATCTTTTGAGGACCGTCGGTCCTCGCTTGGGGTGTGCCACCTGTGCCGTTGTAGATTGTTGTCCCGTTCCGAAAGCAAGACGCCAACGCATGCAACGGTAACGTACGATCGTGGTGGTAGGGCCGGGGGAGTGTTCGTGGGGGGTGACGATGCAGCCACCTGAACCTGAACACACCGGTTGTTTTCAGAACTATTAATGTGACCAAAAACAGCAGTAGTCAGTCAGAGGAACTTAAAGTTCAACCCTTGCAGCAATTAAAGGCTTGCGCTCTGTAGTCCTTTGTTCAAGGCAGACAGAACACACGCGCCGTGTCCTGTTGATAAGCCTGCCGTCAACAACTCGACCGTGACACAGTCGACAACAGTGACGTGAACGAACAGAGAGGAAGCGGGGAGATGGGTTTCAACGGAGTGGGGGAATGTTTTGATTCTAGTGTCGGGATTCATGTATCGCGACAAAACTTTCTCTCACCAGCGAGGATCAGATTCGTTCTCCGTTGTATCATCGCCGTCAACGCTCCTGCCTCGTGCACACCCCGCAGGTTAAACCACCCCGCCAGCCCAGCGTCCACAGTGCCGGTTACCGCGCTTGCTTCGACCTTGACCTCGAGTACTTGGAAGTCCACGGTGTCAGAGGAAGAACCCAGCTGTGGCGACGGCCACATTAGCGGCAGCCGCTCTCGGCTCATCAGCCACTGGCGAAAATTTCGGAGGTTTCCAAGGAGCGTTCGCAGGCACCCCGGCAGCAGCGCAGACGACGACGGTCCTGAGGGCAGCGGCGGAAGCGACTGCTGTTGAGGCAGCAGACCGTTTGGCGGTTGTTCGATCGGGACCTTGTGCTTCGGTGCCTGCTTCGGTGTGAAGACGATGGTGGGGGCTGCGGAGAGGCTCCTGACCACGACACAGGACAAGCTTGTTGCAGATTCTTCCGCGCCATGCTTCGCCGCCCCCACTACCGCCTCCTCCGCCCCTCCCGAAGGGCGGCACTGGACACTGAGCTCGCCGAGGCGCACCAAGGCCCGACCACCAGTTGGGTCCGAGAATTGCATTGAGCTGCGCGTCCAAAGCATCTTCCGGACGGCTCTCGCCAGCCTGAGCTTCGTGCCGTCCTCTTCGTCCTCATCGGTTGGAGCGAGAGTTCTCCAGGTCACGTCCAGAGCGTTGTTCCCTGAAGATCCTTGCGCTTCTTCTTCCGCATCTGTAGATGTGGTGGAGGTGGTAGCGGGGAAATCCGGAGCTTCCCCGCCATTGCCGCGACCGAAGATCTCGAGCCTACCCAACCGGCCAGACATGACGCCGTCCGCCGCAGGCGTACCGTCGCCGTTCCTTGCGCGATCATCGCTGCACATGAGGGTGAAAACGCCTATCGATAGCGACGCACACGCCGGCACTAACCTGGCATCCACAACGACGTTAAGGCCTCTAGGAGGCGCGTCCGTGTTTCCCGATGGCGGCTGGGATGACGACCCGGAGTACCTTTGCTCTCCCCGCACTTTCTCTTCGGCTCCCGCCGCCGCCGCCGCCTCCACCTCCACCACTGCCTGTGCTGCCCCTTCCAATGTCTCGTTGTGCTCGTCAGACTCACAAGCAGAGGTAGTGGGGCCCAGGGCACCGGGGGTCGATACATCTTCAAGAATTGATTTGGCAACCCTCGAGTCATCGTCCAGCCCTGCTGACGACCCTTCGACGAAGGTCGGTCCTTCGCTCCTGTTAGCCCGTTTAGCGCTGTCGTTGGCGATACCTTCGTGAACGCTACTACTCGAGTCATTGGCCGGTGCCTCCAAGTTTCCTTGCGATGCTCGTAGGTCTTGTCTGCGAATCGTTGGTGCGCCGCTCCCGTGGACGCCGCCACCGCTAGGGTGCTCCGCGACTGATGGTGTTGCCTTCTCGAAATGCTGTTCACGCGCGTTGCCGCCGTTCTGCCGACAAGAGGGATCGCTCTCATCCAGCGAGATCGACTGCGGTATACTGCCCTGTGCTTGATGATCTTTCGCCCGTCTTTGGATCGCTAGCAAGCTTTCTAGCCAGGATAATTCTGAGACGGCATCGACTCTCCCCAGCGAGATAGTAAGGGAATGCAGTCCCTGAAACTGCCTTGTCTGGAAATTGTGTAAAGCCGGAAAGCCACCTGCGAGGAAACTGGGACACGAATGGTATGTGGGCAGGGATACAATATCGTCATGCACTACGATAGGGGGATGTTGCACGCCAGCACATAGCCGCACCGCAATAGAAAGAGGTTGCACAAAGAAAACAGCAGCATAAATTTGTCGGTCAAAATGGGAGCATTGGGTCTAGGCTTGTAGACACTAGCAACGCCTGGAGGGGGGGAGGGGTGACACAACAGCACATGAAAATCTCATCGCCTCCATGATGCTTGAAAGTAAACTGCAGGTGAGAGTCAGCAGCCAGCCGTAGTCAACGTACCCTTTCGCCTCCGGGCGAGAGCAGTCAGCCACAACTGCGATGTGAAGGCCGTCCAATGTGATGGAGAGTCTGTGTGCACTCCTACTTCCACCACTGAAGTGCGGCGATGTTGGCGGCGGCGGTTTTCCCTCAGCCGGCGCGCTATTTCTCGGGTACATTCTTGTCACCCCGTGTCTCCTGCGCCGCGGTTTGACCTCGGCTTCAATGGCGGACTCCACGAGCTTGATCTGTTGGAATCGAAATGACACCTTCTCCCAGCGCGTGCAATGCATCGAAAACGGAGTCGCGTCGCGACAGAAATGGGAGGATTGTCAAGTTTCTCGACTTCTGTTTGAGCAGGTGATTGGTGCTTTGGTGGGGTGAAACGAGGGGCTGTAACGGTGCGGCTCTTACCCAAGAATTTGGTGGCCTAGATTTGAGGGTTCGATTTTCACCAAAGTATATACTTACAAACTTGAACCCTACATTGTACCCTACGGCTGCTACTGCGTATTTCATATTCAAGAGGACAAAATGCACCAGGGAAGGGGGGTCTGTAGAAGTGCGGAACTTTCTCGAGTGCATCTGCCGCATGTAGCGGTAGTGAATTCACGGTTGAATGAGCAAAAGCAAAGGGTAACTTCCCAACGCGTGTATACCCAATCAGTCTAGATGAGACCACGCACCGTTAGGCAAGACGATCGCTTGGAAACGAAGCCCACCAGCCGCATTCCCGTGAACTCGATCGCCCGAACTCCAATACCCGCATGGGTAGCAGCGGCTTTTCTTGCGCAACCACCATCTTTGAGAGGATCATCGCCGTTGCCGTCGTCCTTATGTTCAGAACCCGCCGGCCGTGTACCACAAGTCCCAGCTTGATCGGAGGTAGCTAACTCCACCCGCAGATCACAAACTTCCATCGCAACGAACCGTGCCCAAAGCAGCGCGGCTGCAGGTAGACTTGGAGGCTTCTTCTGGTTGCTGCCCTCCTCGAGGTTGGAGTTGATCGAACTTTTTCCGGGTCTGGCCGTCTCTTTGGTGGCATAAGAGGGCTCGAGCAAGGAAGCAGGTAGTGACACACTCGCGTTCTCCACAGTGAGCACGATGGCCTTACCCTTGCCCTTTTGCAGAGGCTGCCGTAGTATCATCTGCTTCAGGCGCCGAAACCCAAAGGAAAGCCTTCCGATCCGCACAATGACCCCATCCGACAAACGGACCTCGACGCCCCGAAAATAAAAGCGGAGACTAATGCTCTGGAACGTGATCGAGGTGATCGTTGTTCTTGGTGCTGATACATTGTGTTCGCCATTTTCTCCCCCTGCCGCCGGGTGCCGAGAGCAGACCCCGCCGCTCGCTTTTTGGTCTCGAAGGAAGTACTTCAGCCCTGCGCTCACAATCCACGCGCTTAGTTCTCTCTGAAATACGGCGGCGGTCACCGCAAGGCCGACAAGGCCTGGCAGCAACGCTCCCATGATGCACGTTAGGTCGGAACCATCCGGGTATCACCTACAGTACTTTGTATGTGTGGAGGGTCGGCTGGTTGGCTCTCGCAACCCGTTGCCTTTCCGCGACTCATGTTTCATTGTTGTGCGCTTGCTACGCACATGTTGCGTGATACAAAGAGCAGTGCGCAACAGACTTGAACATAAACGATATGACGGTAGACGAAAGACAGACTGGCGGTTACAGAGGACGCCAGTCTACCACTACAAACTCCCCCAACGCCAGGGGGGTAAATGATATTGTTTGCGTACCCCCCCCATCTTGGGGCTTCAAGCCTGATGCCCCTGGTCTGTCAACAAAATTGCCTCTCCGCTCCCAAGGAATCCCACGCTAGCCTTCTCGCCCTCTACACTCCAAACTCCACACATCTTTTACCATGGCTTTTAAGGCGTTCGCTGTGTTGGTGGCTCTGTGCCTTGTTTCGCTGGCGTCTGGGTTCGTCGCACCAACTGCCGTCGCACGGAATGGTGAGTCTCCTCTGCTTGGTGTTCATGCGATTGATTCCTGGGACAGTATGTTCAAGTGTGTTTCCTCGCTGCGAGGGTTCGGTATAGCCCGTCCCCCTCCCCAAGACTGATCCCCGGCGAACAGGGCCTTTGGCGCGCCATGCGTATCCAGCTCAATTGCGGCGGGAAGCCGCACGAATCCGTCCGTGTGCATGCATGAAGCGAACCGGGCGCGCGCTGAAATAGCGATGGCTGTGTCTTGGTTTTACTGAGGGCGAAGGAATGTCGCGGGGTCACAGATTCATGCTCTCCTCCTCGTTATGGTCGCCCCAACGCAAGGATAGCAGGACTACCCCAACTCCCCTCGGTAACGGAGTCGCTGCGGATTACACCGGTCGCTCTGTCTGCAATCCGCCTCCTTTTTGACCAGTATCTCTGGTGTGTCTGCGTAAACACACGGAGGACCTCCGTTTTTTCTGACTCGTTCGGGTGGTTCTTGCGGTCGTTCCTTTTTTTTTCCCTACGCACGGCTGCTGCGCGTACATACATCCCACATACCAAGGTCAAATACGATTGCGTTGCTGAATCAAACGTGTTTACGACGAAGCCTGGTGCAAGGCATGGCTATGCTTGACACTCGGGCGAAGCCGCCCTGACAAGCTGGAAAATTTATCATCTAGGTTGAAAACCAAACAGCAGGATGCTCAAGCGCTCACACTGCTGTCACCAATAAACGGCAATGGTATGTTGAACCTCCCGACGGCTTCAAACATGAGCGAAATACGCACCGCCTCACACTGAAAGCTGACTCACCCCGGCTGCGTTACGGCTGTCGTAAGATTGTTGCCGCGTGGGCCTGGACGGGAATAGACATGCCCATGAGTTGGTTGCTGGTGGTGGCCTTGCGTGTGTGTACCCTTGGCATGGTAGTTTGCTGTGTACAAGCGCCAGTCAGGAACGCAAACAGCATTGTGGCAGGCAGTCCACGGAAGATAGCAGTCCCCCTTTTGCAGCAGACGCCGATACTACACAGCAGTAGCCGACACCTTAACCGGCGAGGAGACCTAACAACATTTTGCTGTACCTGCAGATCAAAAGCTCCCCGTCACTGAACCCTTCTCCTCTAGGTTTCGCGACACAAACGGGCATCCATGGGGTTGGTGTATGCACGCGTCCGCGATGGTTTGTTTTCTGCTGTGGTCAGAAGTCCGTGTTCCAGCCGATACCCTCAGATTGAGACAGAGATGGGACTGAATGGGCTGACGCCATGTTCTTTGAACCCACATTTTTGCGTTCACGCGGGGTTACCCGGTGTTCTTTTTTGGAGAGAACCAAGCAAGCGCTAGCAGTTGTCAAGAGGGACGGGGGAGTTATTTCCGAGACCGCAGTTTCAGCTATTATGACGAAGTAAAAATAGAGCGAGCCTCGCCGCTGCCTCATCCCCACACCTGGAGTAATGAAATGTAAACTCTGGCTTGGCCTTGTTGTGCTACATGGCCCGTGTGACATCGGCGGTTGTGCTGCCTGCTATTTACTTACATGTAAGTGAACATTTGCAAAGAGAGTACAAGATGACAGCAGTGCGGGTAGTGGTCAATTCGTCCAAAGAGCAGTCCTCACCCCGTTCAATATTTTGGTGGTGTTCCTGGACAGGTGCTCACTACACAAGTGTTGCTGTCGCATTTATCACAGTTTCGTTTATATTTTGCAATTCGAAGCAACTTGTTTCCTCAGGCCTGCTGTCATGTGTTTTTTTTTCGACATCTGAACCTTAAAACCCTCGGTGCGATGATGGGCTTTTTGTATCGTGGCGCCGAAAATGATGCTTTCTGAAGTAAACAGCTACCATTTATGCGACACATTCAGCGGTCTCGAGAGACCAATACACACGTATGTTAGGTACTTGTTTTTCTCAACAGATCAAAATGGGCGGTCTGCATGCATGTGGCGTTGGAAACATGTACGCCAGGGACAGGGTAGTCGTTGTGGTGCATTTGGAACTGTCTACCGTTGTTGGCTGGGTATCCCTGCACGTGTTTATGCCCTCAGTTGCGCTAATCCTCTACAACGATTTGTACACCGGGTGGTGCCGACCGTGTATGATCATACACGCATTTCACGACTGCGAGTTACCTAACCCCTCTGCCATGAAAACCGGGGAGAGGGTATATATATTGGTCAGGATTACGTCGTGGGGATGTGGCAGATAGATAGGTATACGAGTGAAAGCGCAAAGCATCATTCGTCATTGTTATTTTTTGGGTTGGCGCATAACTTGCTCGTGGACCCTCTGAAATCCCCCGCAGAACGATTGGCGAAGAGTTCACGGTGTGGTATGCACAGCTTCCCCCGAACAGACACGTTTCATCCTGGCCTATCGCGTTGAACATGGTCAGACCCCGGTGTCAGCAACATGGGCGTTGTGATTTTGTACCAGGCCATGTTGTACAGTTTCTTGTCAACCGAGAATGCTCGGCGCCTGCCGCGGCAAGGACCAAAACCAACCCACATCCAGCTCATCTCGCGATTTGAGGACATGCCCAGTTGTGCATGCATACATACATCCCTAACGACCCCCCCCCCTCCCCTCCGATGTTCCGGCTATCGTAACCCTACAGTGGCGATGAAGCAGGCCGTTCAGATGAGCGCAAAGTCCAGCTTGCCGGCGGCGGCCGTCCCTGCGGCTGCACTCGGGGCGGCGGCGGCGGTCTGCTCCCCGCTCGCCTCCTTCGCGGCCGACCCGTCCAGCGCGCTGGCGCAGCTCCCCACCGAGCTCCTCGCGGACAACGGCACTGCCACCCTCGCGATCGTCGTGGGCATGTTCATCCCGTGCTCGTTCCTCATCACGCTGTACTTCGGTACCGAGCAGAAGAAGAAGGGCGTCATCGAGGGGCAAGAGATGAACAAGTAGAGGGAAGGAAGAAGAATGATGACAGTTAATTTTTTCTTTTTTTTCGTCCTGTTGCACGAGAGCCCGTTTTTTTGTCCCCGGGGGTGTGTGACGACGTGGCTTTTGACCAGTAGGGTCATGATCTGATGGATGGATAGATTGGACGAATAAGCGCGGGCCGTAAGTTTTTTCGGTGCTGGCAACGGTTTTGGTTCTTTCTCGAATAGACGTAAAAGGATTGGATTGTGAGCGCGAACGCCTTCCGGGTCTCGTCTGTTGTAGTTCTGCGTTTTTTCGGTGCTCTGTATGCATGTTTGGCCTGCAGCGTCAATAGCGGCAGGAAGAGCAACAAAGAAGCCGGCGTACTGGGGGGGCAAAAAATATCAAAAATATTGCAAGATTTTGTTAGATTCCAGATTCTTGGCCTCGGCTCTGGTGTGTTAGAGTGTTTTATCCGGTTTCTATTTTAGAAGCGGGGGGGGTGGCTTATCAATGAGCACGCGGGAAAAATACGATCGGGGGCAGTTGTGGTGTAGGTGTTGGTGCGGAAGCCCCCCGCAGTCGTCCCGTGCGCGGTTAAGTACGTGGAACAGAACAACGTACGTGCCCTTTGCCGCGATAAAGGTTTTCGGAAGGGTTTTGTCGCCCGCACAAGCTCGCTGAGAAAAGGAAGAAATTATTTTTCGCCTCTGTTTTTGTGTTTTTTTTGTGCGGGGTTTGCGCAGTGGGAGAACGGGCGCTTGCGTCCGTTTTTACCTGTGATTCCTTCGACGTTTTTGTGGACCCCCCACCCCTTAATGAAAATATCCACGAAATCTGTCTTCTGTTTTATCCTTCGAGACTGTCCTGCGGATGGATACCGGGTGAACGTTCTGGCTCGCGTGTCTGGTTGTATTTTCTAACGACGCCCAGCAGAGATCGAACCTTGAACACCGAACCTGACCCTCTTTTTTCTGGAGGCAGTTGGCGCACGTGGCCGTTCTTGGTTGACGAGCGAGCTAAGGTTCACGCCGTCGACCCTTCAATATACACATTCATCAAGTAGATCGTGCAAGAGCTGCTCTTCGTTTGTGTCACGGATGAGCGAGGCTATGATCAGCGATTCAAACTGCTCGGCTGCACTCGCTTCTAGCAAAACGCGAACCTTGTACGACTGTAGATCGTCGGAGTCCCAGTCGCGACAAGGGAGACGCATTCACACAGCATGCCGCACGACCAAACTCTCAAGCCACACTTCATGGCGAAATCCGGAGCGTCAATCGGATTTTCTCCGTTTCTTTTACGATTGCGTGCCTCCGGCGAGTCAACAAGTCGTTGCGCAACACTTGCCCAAAGAGAGTTGAGCGGCCGCGTATCTGTCCGAAATCTTGGCGTGAACAACTCGTCTTGTGCGGTGGGCTGATGTGGAGTCCGGCCAAAGATAACAGGCAAAGCGCTCAATTCGCTTGTTGTTGGATGTCTTCCTACACTTCCCCGCGTGCATGCACATCGATCGCCGGATGAAGCGCCACGTGATTTGTGTGGCCGCGTCTCTACCGACCTCTTCTTGATGCATTGGGACCTCGATGCAAAAGTGTCCTGGTGTTGGATTTATCCCTTTGCAAGCGGGTGATGATGCAGGATGAGTTGTATATTGACTCCGAGGGGGAAGAAACGATGGAGATGGATCACCAGGAGCATGGTGGATGGGACGAGAATGAGCGATCTTGACAGTAACCATGGACGACGATGAATTTGAAGGACCGAAGATACGAGACGAAGGCAGAGGAATTTAAGTGGTGAGGACTATGGGCTGCGATCCATCAGACGTTCCATGCATGCATACGTTCGTTGACAGCGACAAATGGAGGGATACATCTTCAGAGCAAAATGAGTGGCAGTGGAGAGAGAGTTCCAGGATAATAACCGCGGAGAGAGGCGAACAACGTGCTCAAGCCCCCGTTGGAAGTCACATAGCGAGCAACCCACTGCAGGGCAAGCTTTAGCACAGGAGCATGCATGCATGTAAAGCAGCCCGAATATTACTGGTGTGGTGTAGCACGCTGTCATCCAATCTCCTCCGCACCCTCCTACCGGGCAGCCCGCGGTAAGAAGCAAGCGTGTTCGTTTGCGTCCTTACGCGATCAGACTGACGTTTTTTCAATTGGCCAGCAGGAAGCAAAGATCACACACACACACACACACACACACACACAGATTCGAGTTGTCTTAACGAATGAGGAGGGAAGCGAGGGATAGAAACAAGTATGGAGGATGGAAGAGATGGTGAGGAAGGGAGGAATATTAGTGAGCCAGATGACCTTCCGCACAACAAACGCCGGAGATAAAGAGAGTTACCTGTAATGGTACAATAGATAAATGTGTTTTCGAGGAGAGTACATATAGTGAACACAAGGAAGAAACGAGTGAACAACAACATGCCACTGGGGACCAGAACAACAAGCAAGAGTGCAAAGTAACGGCCTTCGGTGTATCTAGACACGTGCGGTTGTCTTCGTTTGCTACCGTTTCTTTTTCCAGAGGAGCATAGCCTAGCCTCCCCCATGACGCCCCCTCACGGGGTTCCAGATCATGGTCTTGAGAGCAAGCATTTTCTGTTTTCAGCCGCACTGAGACTGGCGAATTAATTGGTCCGCCGGTTACATAGCGCGGTCCACGAAGGCACCATAAAGTGTTCGCGCGTACCCATGAGCAGTCCGGAAATGCAACCACATCGTCTCCCGCACGGAACTACGCCACAGCGCGCGTTACGCGACAAAACGAGCGCATTACATCGTCGTCCAGTAAATTTGCCGGTATCGAGAAAAGTGTGCAGTGCGTGCTCCTTCAATGGCTTGAAGACATACTTAAAGAACGAACTATTTAGTCTATTTCTGAACGATGGTCGCGTTGTACTTTAGGAAAGAAGAGTCTACCGGTCAGCTCCCCGCCCCCTCCCTTGTCGCAATCAACCAAACAACCAACCCACCTGAAGGCAAACAGAGCAACCAGACAAGCAAGCGACCACACACAGCACTATTGCATAAAATATACTTCTTCGTACGTACGTTAGTTTGATGATGAATCAATCAACCGATATATCAGGCCCCGGGCCGACGCTTCTATCATACGGTGGCCTACCTCATCGATGCATATTGCCGACGGCCAAGAGAAAAATGACCCACCTCCGTAGAGGGTGTGGTGCACACGGCTACGTACTATACTGCTGCGCGGCCGGTTTAAACTCGCTGTGATCACCAGCGGCACCGCCACTACCGAAGGGTGCCGGTTAGCGGGGATCTCCACGCTCCATCCCCTCCCTCGGGGGGGTCATCGTAGGAAGCGTGTTTCCCCTTGACGCACCCCGGGTGGGAAGGGTCGGTCTCTCCGCAGCAAGACCAGAAGTACTCCAGGCCGGAGGTGTCGACGTCGTTGATACGGTTCAGTCGCCCGCTGAACAGACCCGGGTGATACCTGCTTGTTGTTGCGGTGATGGTGATGGTGGTAGTCGTGGTGTTGTAGTTGGTCCGAAAGCACCCGAGTGCATGGAGGGGGGAACGAGTTGAGGGGGTGGGTGCGGAGACAGAACCAGCAGAGGCAGGACAAATAATTATAGGCAGACAGGCAGTTAGGTCGACAGGGAGAAAAAGAGGGGGGTAGAGGGAGGAAGGAGGAGGAGGAGGAGGAGGAGGAGACGAAAAAGAAACTCAGTAAGGAAGGGGGCCGAACAAACCGTCTTCAGGCAAGCTCATCTATGTTGTTATGTTCTTCAAAAAACACGCTGGGATCCAAGCACGTGCGCGAAGTCCCGGCAAAAAAAACATCGAGGGCCAGCACCAACTTCTTCCGTTCGTGTCGAAGAATCTCATCGACACAACCCTGCGCCCATCCCCCCCATCCACATCGCTCAGGTTCTGCCCAAGACATACGGACACCATCAACCACGTCGGTACACCCGAACAAACAGGAGGTGAACAGCTAATAGCTCACGCATCCGACGGACCCACAGCCTAGAACTCACGAGCAAGATCCGTCCACGTTGTCGTCTGGGTTGAATTGTTGCTTGCAGTTACGGCAGGTGGACGTGGCCGTAGAGGTTCTCACTACGTCGCCTCCGGTTGCCGCTGTAGCCTCACCGTCGCCGCTCTTTGTTGCGACTACCACTTGTCCTGACGAGGGTTAGTTGTCGAATAAATACATTTGTCGTTAGTTCCACGGCAGAACAAAACGTCGTATGCATAGATATTTCGTTGGTTCCACGGGGGATTGAAAAGGCGCGCGGCGGGGGGGGGGGGGCGAACTCTTATGTTTTGCATGCCTTAGCGGATAGACCATTGACCACGCGTCCTCGAGAGGACGGAGCACTGTTCCCACAGGATCGATCACCGATGGCCAATCGTTCCTTCCTACTTTGCCAAAGGTGGCTCAAAAAATGTCGTCCCTAGTCTATCTATCCTATCGATATCACTTCCCGCCTCTTCAACCCACTTCCTATGCCCCAGTAGGGCTACCGTCTTTTCCTCGCTATTCCATGTCTCTAACATCTCCCTGTACCTTCCTTCTATGTTGTCCCAGTTCAGTCATGTACACTCCCTCTCCTTGTACAACGAATACTCCGCAACTACATGACCCGGTCTTCGCACTCGGCTTCGCAATCACATTTGAACTTGTCGTCTTCATCGTCGCCTTCCGAAACCTTCGTCTACGTTCTCGAAGGCCAATGTCGCCGGCCCTGAATTTGACCTTGAGCTTTGTCCCTGCATCCATTGGTCCGTGTAGGTACTCCTTGAACCCTATTCCAACATTCCGTACACTTCTAGATCCTCCTTTCGTTGGTTTCTTCTTCTCTCTCAGCACAAGCAACAGATATCTTCTCCTTGAACCGTGCGAGCGCCGTGGAGGGGGGGGGGGATGAGACTCTCGCGAAATAGTAGCGGCGAACACTACAACATGTACAGATGTGTGGTGTTCCTCTATCCAATCGTGGGTTACCGCTTTCCGCATGGTTGATGCCAACCACCATCATTGGTGCGACACATGACACACATGCGGCCATCCTGATGAGTTGCAGGAACCTCTGTTCGGACGTGTGCTCGGTACAAGGACTACAAGCAGTAGGGAGGTAGTGTACATAAAACAAGCAGTGCCTCCGTTGGTCGACCATTCTCTGTATAGCCGATACTCCGAGTAGGCAGTTTGGTGCAGTGCACGAGGTGTTGGGTTTCTATTGTAGTCCGAAAAAAACATTCCAGCATTAACTGTTGTAGGGTGTTTGTGTGAAAGGAAAGCACTGCTAGAGAGTGTGTTGGACTATTACACTTCGAAAGATATTCCGCAAAAAAGGTCCACAGCAGTACACATGACCTGCGTGCGCACCCACCTCCTTGCCGCGCGCCTGTTGTTCTGCAGCAACCCCTTGTTCCCGTCATACCCGACCGACCAGCAGCGACAGCGAACTGAGGTGCACCAAGGAAGCCTTCGGATCCTGGAGTAACCCCCACGAGCGCCGCAGCAAGCAGCACCAGGCACGACGCGCTACGCCGTGACCAAAACATGAGCGAGTTTTGAAAGGGAGGGTTGAACCTCCAAGAGAGCGTACTTCGCCTAAAACTACTGCTGCAATCCCGCAGCCAGCAGGATAACACGCTTGAAGCGACAGAGATGAAAAGAAAGGGAGACGGGATGCCCAGTCCAAGGGGAGGGGTAAGGGAAGAACGACAGGAAGATAGCAGATGGAGAGAGTGTGTAAGCAGTGGGTGTTCTGCTCCGAGGCAGCCCAGCAGCATCCAGCTTGTGTGATCTCCGAGATCTCCCATGTCCAGCGTCCCCGTACCAGACATGCCTTAGACACCGAGGACACCACTAGAACCGCGGCCTGTTCTCGGTGGCTTTTGCCCGACTGCTGCTGCTGTGTCTGGTGGTTTCTGCGGCCCGCCCACAAGCCAAACTTGGGCCCACTCTCCTCTACCCGCCTGTGCACAGTTCGATGAGGGCTTTGCTGAGGAGTTGCGGCCTGACGGCCCTGCTCAAGCTTGCAGGGTGAGCAAAACGAAAACATGTGTACTCCACATTTCGACCCAACTGCTACATGGCCACCACCATGCGGCACTGCTGCTTTGCAGCAACAGTTCCCTTGTGTGCGTTCGGTAGAAAAAGAGGGCTACCGCATCCCACCATGTGTGTGTCGGTGTTGGCGTAGTCTGAGGAGTCGTGGCGAGGAAAGGATCTGCCGAGAAAAAGACCCATGGTTGTCCCATCCGCCAGTCAGTGGTGCTAAAGCAACACCGCATGCTGCTCTCCTCTCCCTCTCTACACGGTCGACTGACTGCTGCTGTGCCAACGTAGTGGACGTGACCCACCGTGTGTGGGTCACCCACCTGTAGTAGGCCGCCCTGGTAAATGAGCATGGGAGATCGCTCTGACGTAAGCTTCGGCTGGCCGTCGCCACAGCAATCACGTACCCCCCCCCCCCCCCGAAAGACGCAAGCAGTGCGCAGTAGACTAGAGCTGTATGCATAGGTGACGAGAGATACCGCACACCCTGGGCCGATTTTCAAAAGCAGACTACTGCTGCTCTAAGGCAAATCATACAATGATGTAATATCGAAGGATGGAACCAAAGCGATAGTCGGACATGAGGCGAACGGGCGACATTACAGTACTTCGTACCGTGCAGGTCATACACAAGAGTACACCGTCACACGTACCTCACATTCCAACAATCCAGCTCCGCAATTGGCGCATGGTATATATAGGGGTGTTTGATTTAATTAATTGTTTTTGGGTTTAGGGAGTACATACACCGTACCACCGAGGAAGAGGATGCAAGATCAAATGATTACTTTCGGAAAGATCTCGACGAAGACCGTGTCATACTGCGGAGTAACCGAGCTTTGAAGATCGGTCCAGGGGTGTGTGGTATCTTTTGTCACCTATACACAGTACGGCGGTAATGGATGCATGGATGCCACCAGGCCGGTCTCTCGATTGCTTGCTTGGTTCATGTTCAAGTAGTTGATTCAACAACCTTTGCCGAAGTGCAGTTTTCCCTCGAGCGCGTGGCGGCCCTGATAGTGCGCCGCTGCTGCTAGTTCTGCTGCTGTCTCGCCCGTCGCAACCCACGTCACGTTCTGCGACGAATATCGGCGAAAGACAGAACTCCGGTAGGAACGTAATCTCGTGTCTCTCGGTAGGCTACTGAAGACTCATAGTTCGTAATTAGCATACTTTCTGCCTCAAAAATTACCGTAAAGCACTTACTTCGTACGTTTTAAACGATACGAGTCACCGCCCAATCGCAGTCACCGCACGGTGACTCTGTTTTTAGTGGAGAGTAGTCAAGGTTTGAGAAATCGGTCCAGGGGGGGGGCGGGGGGGGGGGGGTACTCATAGTCGTGCATGCCGTAGTCGTTAGACCGTTGACCTCGCATCCCTACAAAGCCGGGACGGAGCACGCCGGGTTCTCACCGGACCAGGCTCTCACATCACCAAGCGCGAAGCGCCGTGAGGTATTCGGCGAGTCGCATGAAGGGTGCGCTGCATCCTGCTAAGGGTGTTCGGGATCTTGTGCTTACTTCCTTGCGTACGAATGACAGCTGCGTATGGCTTAATTTATTTTCTGGCGCTTTCACTTCCAGAGACAGTTGTAAGCGCTTTGTAACTGCCTCGAGGGTGCTTGACCAATTGAACACAACGTGCGATTATCCCCTTTGCGCGGAGTGAGGGTTCTCGACCCCGCACAGAATAATCTACTCGACCACCATTCATGGTTACCGCAAACAAAAAACAAAGGCAAAAAAAACAAGCGGTAACCTGGTTGCCGAGCTCACGAAGTGACTTGGCTTGTTTTACTACGTCGTTGCCAAGCGACGAAAACCCAACCCCGATGGCAAACACCGGGGGGGGTGGCTTGTTTTACAACGTCGTTGCCAAGCGACGAAAACCCAACCCCGATGGCAAACACCGGGAGAGGGGAGAATCGGTCCAGGGGGGGGGGGGAGTATCTTCCGTCACCTACGGATACAGTCACATGCAACGACGGCTATCGACAGCGCACGCCTCCTTCTTTTCCCCGCTCCACGCTGCTGGATGACACCAGTATCTGCTTTCGTCTCCCGCCTCCACTTGATGTTTGTTTCGGTACAAAGAAAACCTCTATGCGTCATTGGTGCCTGTTGTGTTTGTTTGTCCCTCTGTTGGCGTTGACAGGTGCCAATCGTTCTGGGTGAGCGCTCGAACCCGCCTAGCTCAACACCAGACGCCTTCTGCTTCTGCGGCTCGGACCTGCATGTAAGTGGGATGCCTACTGCGGCTGTGTGCCCCATGGTCGGTGCATGGGGAGGGGGGGGGCGGTTAGGGCGAGGAACGGCCCGAGAGGAGAAGGGGGGGCGGGGGCGGGTCCGTGTAGGTGAGATGTCTACTGGGGGACAAGAGACTCACGGAGGAGGGGAGGGGGGGGGAGAGGGATTCGCATGATGAAGTTGGCCTACTTTGCTGTCTTCAAGATTATCCTAGGCGATCCGAGTCCGGCCGGCAACATACATGCGTGGAAGGCAGCAAAGAACTACCCAGATTTCCCACAACAAGTACGCACGACCGGCACTTATCTTCCGTCTGTTTTCGTACAGCAGTACGTCAAAACACAGGTTGGTCATTTGTCTTGACGCTAAGAATCCATTACTATTTTTCCCGGCCTCTCACCTCGTGCATTAGATAATTTATAGCCTAATTAATTCGTGTATTATAGCTTAATCAATTCATCGCGCTTTTGGTAGAAAGAAAAGATAAATAAAGGGAGCCACCCCTTTTTTGGATGAGTTTTACCGAAAATGTGTGTGTTTGCATGTTTGTTGAGGCATACATATATACAAGGGCGATCGAATACATATATATACATGTGTGCCGACGAGCACGTGCAAACCCATCTCACTCGACGCAGGTCTTTCGTGGAAGCGGAAAAGGTTAAGGGGTTTGCCAGATCGCGGGGGCCCTTCCGACGGTCGGCGACCCGTCTCGCCTCCACAGGTACGATATGTAACAAACAACAACTGCTGTTGCTGGATGTTTTTTGGAACGTTCCTGGATCCGTTCTTCATCCCGTACAGTTTGCGCCTGCACATTTGAACCTCTTTTTTTGGTCCAGACTGTAGTTTCTTGTTTTCTCTGTATGGGATACCGCAACAGCGACTACTGTATAGCTTTTAGTGTGGGCTTCTTGGCTGAGCATCTGTTCTGATGGCCAACTTCTTAATTTGCGCATTATTTTTCAGCCTGAATTTCTTAATTCCAAGGTTCATGAGTGCGGGCGCCAAGTGCATAGATGCATCGTGTTGGGAATCGGACACCACTTCCCGCGGCTGCTGGTTACGGCCCTCCTTTCCGTAGCAGCAGCAGCGGTAGCCAGAACAGCTGCGCGGGCAGGAGACGTGGTGATGCCCGCGCAGCATGACCGGCATCAGGATCGGAAGAGAACCGTTGCAGCAGCAGCAGATCAGTAGGAACGTAGGAGCCGCCCCCACTCTCTAGGTGGGTGCCCACGCCAGGTTTTGTTCCAACGAACGCACGCAGGCGATTGTAAGCACGCGGTGACACCAATGCTGCTGCGTTTGGTCCCCCCACCAGTAGGAAGGAACGATTGGCCATCGGTGATCGGTCCTGTGGGAACAATGCTCCGTCCTCTCGAGGACGCGTGGTCAATAGTCTACCCGCTAAGGCATGCAAACCATAAAAGTACGCCCCCCCCCCCCCCCCCCCCACCAGCCCCTGTTAATACGCGTTGCTGTCTCGACTACCACGCTTGCCTACGGTAGTACCTCCAACAACGCTTATCTCCAATACAAACACCCTACCGCCAACAGCCGGGGCGGAGACCACATCCACGATCTCCACCAGCTCCGGCCCCCCGACGGACGCCGCCTCCTCCCTGGAGTTCAACTCCGAGGAGGCCTACCACGACCACCTCGAGGGGCAAGGCAAGCTCCCGCTGGGGTTCCGGGTGGGCACCGACGGGCTCCGCTTCGTGCCCAAGGAGGTCCCGACGGAGGTGACGATGAACGTCACGGCGATCGTCCTTGACGAGGCGAGTATATATGGTATGACGCAAGATAGCACCCGCCCCGCATAAGATGACGCAAGATAACACCCCCCCCCACCGCGTAAGATAAGATATGACATCCCCCCACACAGCGTACAACACCCGGTGATATATATTTTTTATCTGAAGCCCAAATGATGTCCCAGCGATGTGTTAGCTAGTGTCGTATTTGGGTAGTAGGTACATAATAGTATTTTTCGGAACAATAGCGGCGAGCAGTGTGTATGGCAGATGCGCGACCCGACCTGTCGCAAGTGTCTTTTTCGCCAGGGGGGGGCAGGGGGCAAAGAAGGTGTATTTTTCTGGGAGCAATGATGAAGCAAGCTGCTTCTATGTTACGTAGACACTGCGCCGTGTCCCCTGTGAAGGTTACATTTTACAATGCACGACACAACGGAGGGATTCTCCCCGATATTTTGTCGTCGACCCAATAGAGGACTACAGGGGATGTTTGTAAAATGTAAGTTACCTATACAGATGTTTTTGTACTTAGTACCAGCTGGCATCACTGGTATAAATCATCAGTGTATAGACTTAAAAAGACTCGAAATAAGTCCAATACCCAGCCGGTTTCCCTCCACTCACTGAAAAGACTCCACCACATCCCGTTCGACTGTGGGTATATCTTGAATGGGTAGCCTTTCTGTGTGTGTTTTTATTGTTCCTTAATTAAGTATGTACCATCATGTTTCATCGTTGGCTTCGGTCTAGTCTGGTGCTTGTGGTACGTTTTTCGGTGTTGGGTTGGAAGCTAAAGCTACGCGGTCGGCGTGATCCCACGTGAGGGGTGCTGTGCCAAACGCCCATAAGACTCTTGGAAATTAACTTCCAGTCTGCCCGGCTGGGGTTTCGCTATAGCAGGACCTACTCCTACCGCGAACCGCACTCCTTACGGCGAACCCTGCTGACAAACTGATTGATCGGGGAAGCGACGCAGAGGAGAGACAGACGCACAGGCACACACAGAGAGAGAGAGAGAGAGAGAGAGAGAGAGAGAGAGAGAGAGAGAGAGAAAGAGTAGGATGGTTTTTTGTCGGTCAATGGCCTTGTGGCGAACGGCGGGCACAACGCAATGAGAACCCGCCCCCGGTGGTGAATGGTCGAACAACCAAGGCATGCAATGAGTATGCCCCCCCCCACCCACCCACCCACCCACCCGTGGTACGAAGAGGAGAGGGAAGTGTACATGACCGAGCTGGGAAAAATAGAAGGGAGGTACAGGGAGATGTTTGAGGCATGGAATAGAGAGGAGAGGACGGTAGCTGTACTGGGGAGTAGGAAGTGGGTTGAAAAGGCGGGAAGGGATATCGTTAGGATAGACAGACTAGGGAAGACATTTTTGAGCCACCTTTGGCAAAGTAGGAAGGAACGATTGGCCATCGGTGATGGGTCCTGTGGGAACAATGCTCCGTCCTCTCGATGACGCGTGGTCAATGGTCTAACCGCTAAGACATGCAAAACATAAGAGTACGCCCCCCCCACCCACCCACCCACCCCGCCGGCCCCCGATGAAACAGCCATCCGACAGATGGGCCGCCGTTTTCACCCGCAACATGTTTCCGGGCGCGCCCGTGATCGTCGGGAAGGAGCGACTAGCCGCCGAGGGCAGGGCTATTCAGGCGGTTGTGGTCAACAACAAGGTGCGATTGCGGGTACACTCACTGCTGTTATCTGTTGTTTGTGGTTTTGTTTTGTTTTGTTCGGAGTACCTCGCGTCTAAAAGTCGTAGTCGTTTCTTGGTCGTCCCAACGTAAGGGTGAATGGCGGTACCGCCGGGTGTGTTCCCACAGCGGGTTTGTATGCGGGTGGCCGGGTGGCGCCGGCGCCGCCGGCGGCGGAAAAACATCCTCTCTCAAGACAACGCGGTGGCACAATGCTGCAGGCGTGCGCTGCCGTCCTTGACCTCGCTTCTCCTGTTGTGATACTACTTTTGTATCTGTTAAAGCCGTTTCCCTCTGTCCGACGAACCAAAGGTACAGACATGACAACAACCGGTAAGTGTGTGTGTGCGTGTTTTCGTCCTATTTATTATGGCGACAGTCCCTCCATTTTTCGTGGTGAGACGTGTACTACACTTTTCAGCGGATGTAGAGTACTACATATATATATATATATAGACAGTACTGAAATCGTCTTCACTGCTGCTGTTCGTTTTTCTTGCTTGTTTTGCGGCCCGCGTCTATCAGATCTCCAACGTGTGTCCAGGAGGCGATGGCGAGGGAGGCGGCGCCAGTGCAGGGGTTGCTGACTCGGAGAGGTGCGGGGGATAAGCGTAGGAGGGGGGGGGGGGGGTGTACTCATAGTCGTGCATGCCGTAGTCGTTTGACCATTGACCTCGCATCCCTACAAAGCCGGGACGGAGCACGCCGGGTTCTCACCGGACCAGGCTCCAGGAGGGGGGCGCGGGGTTAGGACACATAAGACAAGGCTGGCCGCGTACAGAGGGTAACAGCTGGACAAGGAGGAGGAAGGAGAAAGAGTACGGTCGTCGAAATCGTCCTGCAGGGGGTGGGCGAGTAGGGGGGGCAAGCCCCTTTTCCTTTTTCGTTTGGTTGTTTGTCTGTGAGTGGATTGACTGCCTGCCTGGTAACCACGCCTCGAGACGAAACGACATCTATTCCTTGCTCCGCACAGAGACACCACCAAGCGCTATTTCTCTTTCGGGCGGAAAGCAAATGGGGGGAATACGAAGGGGCGTATCGACATGCCGCGGTCAGCAAAACCCTTACCCACTAATGGCGTCAACCCCTCCACCAACCACCCTTGCGGTGCCCCCCGCCCCACCCGCGCTCGTCTTTTCCTTCTGGTTGGATGCCACTACGCGGGCCCGGACTAACACGGAAAACGAACATGAAGCATCTGCCAGCGCGCGGCGGAGGTGTTCGGGCTGGAGGGCGGCGCGGGGGCGGTGATCCCGTGCTCAACGGGCGTGATTGGTTGGCGCCTTCCCGTGGACGCGATCTGCGACCACCTGGTGTGTTGAGCGATAGTGGTGACACGCCGGAGGTGTTGGGGGAGGGTGCGGCAGAGAGAGAGGGAAGATAAACTGTTTTGTTGTCGGATTGGTTTAGTCATCGAATGGTGTGTTGCAAGTGAACAACACCGGACGGGGGGGGGGGTGTGCCCCCCAAGAGCAGACGTACGTACGTGGTGACGTGTGGCGTACGTGTAGAGGGATGGAAGACCATGTGTCGGTCGCTTTGCTCTCTGTCCGCGCTCAGGCTGTCGTGGTCTGACCCAAGTCGTCGAAGGGAGGCCAGTCGACGCTTACGTAACACATGAACTCGGGGGTGCCGTGATATCATTGAGGTGGGATGCTCAAGCAAGCGACCAAGTGATCGCGTGCCCCCCTGTTGGCCAGGATCGCATCGTTAGCACACGTCGCGCGTAGCTTGGGTTCATGGGGGTAAGAATAGAGCGCGACGTTTGTTCTGTAGGACCTGCCGAGAGTTGAATTGAAGCAGGGCGTGACAACATAAGCACCTCCCACGCCCAATCCTCCCGCATGAAGTTGTTCTTGTGTTTCGCGACAGCTATGCACTAGAACGGCGGTACACAACGCTACATTGCGTCGCCGAAAGCCTTCAAAGATCCATTTAATTATCTGCGTGTCCCCCTCCTCCCCCCCAAGGCCCCCCCCCCCCCGGGNNNNCCTCCCCCCCTTCCCCCCCCCCCCCCCGTGCTTGCCGTATTTTACAGGCTCCCGTGAAAGCCAAGATGCAATCAGCTTCCCTGTATCCGGCGTGCAAATCGATCATGACGACAGACCGGTATCCAAAGATGAGGGGCACAGAGGTGGGTCAAGCGGGGGCCCGGGGTTTGTTGTTATTTTTTTTTCGGGCGGAGGCTTTAGAGGAGTATGGTCGATGACGTGTTTGTCGCACACGGTTTGTTGCGAAGCACGGGCTCAGTGTTGTTGTTGCTGTTGCTACTGCTGCTGCTGCTGCTGCTGCTAGTGTTTCTTGTGCAGTCTTTTAGCGTCGGTGCCATATTGTTCGTTTTAATTTAGGGTTGTGGAGAGCCAACGGGGGGCGACTGTTGGACCCGTCCAAGCGATGGGAGTGGTGATTGTCCAAGTGTCTCCAACTCCTATTCTCATGCCACTGCTGCTTGTGATAAGCCACTCTTCGTTCGTACGTCTTCCGCTGCTGCTGCTGCTGCTGCTGCTGCTCCGAAAACGTATTTGTTGACAGGTGGGATCAAACGGGGGCCGGCTGGTGGGAATCGCCAAGGGTGCCGGCATGATCGAGCCCGACATGGCGACGATGCTCGTGTACCTCGTCACAGACCTGCAGGTAGGTGTGTCATTGTCCTCCTCGTCCTCGCCCTTGTCCTGGTTGTGGTTGATGACATCTACGATTTTGTAGTTTGCAGCTCGTGAAGAGTTGTCGTTGTTCGTCCCTTCTCTCTCTCTCTCTCTCTCTCTCTCTCTCTCTCTCTCTCTCTTTCTCTCTTCTTCTTTATCTTTGACGTTGTCGAAAAGCCATCAGAATTAATAAATAGAGCGAGTGCCAGGTACATTAATTCGCTAATTTGAACACTTGTGTTGTAGATGCGCTACCGTACTACTTTTTTTTTTTCGATGCTGCCTCATTCGTGTGTGTCGTATGCGTACCGTGCCTACCGTTACCAGATACCCCGTGAGAAGATGAGGGAGCTCCTGTCGAAGAAATCTGACGCTTCGTTCAACTGCATCAGCATCGACAGCGACACTTCCACTTCGGTGAGTCAAGCGAGCCAGCTAGTCCGCCCAAGCAAGCGATGCCGCGAGAGGGGTGGAATAAGGCAAAGATAGATACAGTAGATGGACAGGCCGACCGACAGAAAGACAAGAGCAGAGATGGCGAAATTTTGAAATTGGTAGCAAGAGAGACAGGGTGAGAGAGCGAGACAGAGATAGCGAGAAGCGAAGAAAAGGGGCAGAGGAAACAGGGGAAGAGAAAACCACGCCCAGCCACATCCGGGAAACCACCCTATCGGACCTTCATCCACGCCCCCCCCCCCCCCCCCCCCCCCCCCGGCCCCCCCCAGGTTTATGGCCCCCCCCCAAAAATCC